CATCGAGGTCAGAAAAAAGCTGCGCGATCCGAGCTATTGTTGCAATCATTAAATAATACGAATTAACATATTAACCATTCAGTTACGTATTATTGAAGAGAACATTTGCGTTAAACTTAAACTCTATTAATATGTTTTAATCCGTACAGGTTTAATATATTGTTGTCAATTGTAAGCTACGTTAAAATAATTAAATAACATTGAAAAGAAGATATCAGATGGAGCAATGAACTTGATCCACAGCAGGCGGAACCGTAAAGTTCCGAACTGAGAGTAGATTGAGATATGCTTGCAACCTGCGAATTCATTTAAGAATTATTCCTCGCCGAAACTCTCGGCGGATCTTGTTATGAATAAGCATCCCAGACGTTACTGGGGTGCGTATTCTTAACAAGGTCTATTTGAATCTTTTTATGAATTTAAAAAATACATTTAAAAAAATAAATCCAAAATGATAAGATAAACACCTTAGTCAAAGTACTGAGCCGCAATATGATCACATAAAGCTTCAAAAGCATTTTTTGAGAAGCGATCTCGCCACATGAATTCTGATAGTAATTTAAAAAATTCCTTTTGCAGCCAAACATTTTCTTTATCCGGCTCTTCTGTTTATTCCAATATGATTCAATATTTTCAGTGTATACGCCAGTTTCAGGATTAACAAAGTTTAGAAATGGATTTACAGTTCTATGCAAGTATCCAAGGCTTTGGATTTGGTTATTTGCTTTCCATTCATCACTGTAAATGATAGATCCTTTCCGCACAACCTTCTTCAATTATTGGAAGAAGAGTTGCAGCATCCCTTTTTAGCGCATTTTCTCATATATGAAAAAAATGCACTATTGTGATCGCCATGTCCGTCTGTCTGTCCGTCCGTGACTCCATGTTTTCGTCGACGAGAAAATGCGCTCTCTGTCACTCACTGCAGTGAGTACTGAGTTATATTTTTTCAACAATTTCCATGCATCCTGCTTGTTTTATGCTTGTATCGAAAATGTCAAAAACCCAAATTTGGGAAGCTGGTGCTATATAGACCATGATGATATATAGGCTTGTGGGAGAAACATGATTCGTATATTTGTACTGTAACTACATGCACGCCTAGTTTAATTGGGTTTTGCTCAAAATACATGGCACAATTTTCACGGAAGAAGTTGTACATGTCTGTCATTGTTGTCCGACTTAAATCCAACTTATGAGATGCAGCTTCTACTCCAATACCTTCACTGCAAAGATATATGACATGAATCCACTTTTGAAGTGAAATTTTTGATTTAGCGAAGAATGATCCTTTCCTTATTGTCACAGTTGATTTGAATTTAATACATTCTTTGTTCTGGCATTTCCAAATGAAACCATTTCATGATCTTGAATGTTTAGTCCAATTCATTTATATATTGCATTTTTGGAATTCGATTTCTGTCTTCAATATCCTCTTCTCCTGCATCCATCATATGACTGTAGCTGAATTCTTGTTCAGAAAGGGAAGAAGTATTTCTTGAAATACGTTATGAGCCATTCTTGAAAGGAAGGATAAACAAAGTTCTTATCTAAAGGTTTAAACAGGGGTGCTTTCCTGAAGGGAAGGATTTACACAGTTAATCCTTCCTATACTGGGGTACGTTCCTAAAAAGAATTAAGGATTAACAAAGTTATTCTATACAAAGGTTTATACTGGGGTGCGCTTTATTAACAAGGATATACTAGGGTGCTTATTCTTAACAAGTTCATACTGGGCTGCTTATTCATAATAAGGCCATAATAAGGTGCTTAATATTAACAAGATCCCTCTCGGCTCTAATGGCGAGTCACATCGACCACGTCTGCTTCCGTGAACAGTTTATTTCTGTCGATGTAAAATGAGACCGAAACGAAGTGCTCTGGCTCAGGAAAAAACTGTGATGACGCAACTGGCTTGAGTGGGTGAGACTTCGCACTGAATATCTTATGATTTTGGCGACGTGAATTGCGAGAATATTTGTGGAAATTTGTGTATATTGCATCATCATTTCAGAACAAAGATCGACCGGTATGAAAAATATTTAGGCTTTTGGGAAAATATTTGGGATCAAATTTAATAAACTCTTACTAGTACGTACGTAACTACGAACCGCGATCGTAATAGGCCGTGGGACGACGCTGACAAGTAAGTCACGCCGACGCGCCTTGCGTAGGAGTGACACGGGAAAGTTTTAGCTGTATGCAGATTTGAGGGGTGAATAAATATATATAAGAGCTCTATAAGTTTAAAATAATCTTTATACTGGAAAGTAGACATAGAAGTTCAATTCAATAGCAAAGAAAGCGTCTTATAGCAAGAAAACGTCTCTACTCGTCTTATTCTAAGGAATAAGACGAGTAGGATTTCTAGCATTATTTTGAGCACTTTACACGTTATATATGAAGTCACTAATTATGAAGAATTAAACCGTCGACCAACAGCAATTTATTATATAAATATGTAGCCCAACAAGCCTAACATTATTATGATTTTATCCCTTGTCCTTCAAGTTTCAAGGTATCAAATCATAGATTGCGATCTTTGATGCATGCTCAAGCTGAACATTAAAATCTTAATTCGCATAGTTTTTCTGAGTGTATCAGCTAGGGAAATTTAATTAAAGTCGTTATTTGTTGCTTCTTTTCAATAGGAAAATAGTAAATGTTGTTGCTAATCTCCCTAAAACATATGAAAATGCATAAAATTTTGAACTGCAGCTCCCTCCCCATAAGCAGTTGTTATCATTAAAAAAAAGTATCAACACGTGAAGGACTCGAGACTAGGTGGCGAGAAGTGCACTTGACTGACGATGGCAGGTCGGGCAGATTTCAAGGGCTGCTTGCGTCGGGGCCCGAGCGCCCGTGTCGTGCAGAGTGCCAATAAGCGCCCACCAGGTGCACATCAGCCAAGTCGCTGCAACTTGCGCTTTTGCTCGCAATTTTTGTATTTTTTAAACAAACATGTGCAAACCGATTTGGTATTCCAAAAATTCCTAATGGATAACCACAGAAAAGGCAGTTTGAATTAAACAATATTACATATAGAAGGTATAATTGGATAATTAATCTAAATTTCTAATAGGTTCGCTTGCGGAACTGATTGACCAAATTTTAAGACAGGCTCCTCGAATGAGGTATCTTAAAAAAATGGTGATGCGTGCAGGAAAACCTGGCTAATGTAAATGATTGTAATTATCTTACAACATGCAAGGGTTCTTATGCAATCTAATAGTTTCGGAAGACAAAGTCATAAATTTGTATTGTGTAACTACTGCTTGCATCAATTTTTAATAGCTCGCAGATGGCTGTCTGGATACGGGATAGTCTTTTCTTCGTCTGCATGCCAATACTTACATTAAGACTGTTATGGTAGTTCATGGTGGTCTCTATGATATGTCTACGAGTGAAGTACTCACTTTATGTCTGTTATGTTAGTTATGGTTAGAGTTATCAATATCGAATATAGTTATTCTATGCAGTTATTGCAAATTATTATTGTATTTTTATTATCAAATATATCATAATTCTGTTTGCCTGGGAAGCAATCATGTTCCGTGCCGGCACCTCGATTTCGTAGCAGCTTAATTCATTTTGTTTACGTTCCGCATCTACTTTTACACCAAAGAATCTGAGACGCCGATAAACCTAATTGCAATGTAGACACTGAAAGGGATGAGGAATGAAATTAAGTGCTCGCAATATCTACCTTAAAAAAGTGTTTTGACCGAAACGAATCCACAAATTCCAAATCAGTGCTATGAATTGCACAAGTACAATGAACCTTAAGACAATTTACAAGCAATAGCCTTGATTTGCATCCATAAACATTCTGGTTGTTACTTTTCATGTCGATAATTGTTCAAATGCACCGTTTGATCGTAATAAAAACTGATTTGTCATTTAGCGTATTGGTGCCGTCAAATTATTCAACTGAAATAAGGGATCTAATACCTCCTGTTGTCTCATTGAAGTATTTATTGCGCTTATACTCTCAGGGTGTTGACCGACATGTAGCCCAGCACAGCGTGCCACGCTACAGGCTGGTCAGTGCACGGCGCTCGAGTCGCGCTGTAATGCAATGAGCGCTATGACAGTCGCTGACGTGCGCTGCCATCGCTGTCAATGGCGATTTATATTTGAAGCACGTGTGTTAAGATTAAAAAAAGTTAACGAGGTTTTAGATGAATTAGGAATTAAATAAATTGTATGAAGTCGTAAGATTAGGAGTTTAGTAACGATTCAACGCAAGAAAGACACCAATTGAAGATACGCTTTTTCTAGTTATCGTTTTAGCGAATTTGGGACCAACATCGTGTGTTAAATAACGATTGCAATTCAAAAACGTCTACTGTGAAAATCTGAAACAAACGAATCGTATCGCAAAAGGTTCACCATGCTACTGGAGTGTAACGTTCAACACAACCGATAGAAATCGCATCAAAAGCCGTTTGCGGTTCAAAACCAGGAAAATGTAGAACAGTCAAACTTATGGTTCATGTACAAATTTACAGCACATACTTCGATGAAGTTCAAACCCTTTACTTCTCGCTAAACGCCACTAGTCTATATTAGTCTCTACTCTAACAAATAACTATAGAATTCTTAAGAGGTGAAACAAGAATCACTTCCCGCCCCTTTCCGGAAAAAAATCACAGAGGGGTGATCAGGAGGGGACAATCAAGGAGGGATCACTGCTGTTAGTCGCTGAACACAAAGCATTAATCTCACACTCCAGGTCATTGCCGCCGACTCGCAGAAAATCGTTCATGAGATTTCGTTTCCACTGCTTAAGACTTGTAATAAATGTTGCCGGCGTGCATTGGTGCGTCTTTTTTTAGCATCACAAGAACAAAATGCACAACATGTATCAGCGATTTTAATACGAGTCTTTGGTATTCAAGCGACCAAGTTAAAGAACCACACAAGCCATTTTCTGCAGGGAATTGAAGTCTTTGAAAATAGCAACAAAAAAAAGTAATACGCATTCTGCTAATATTTACGTCTCTTGAAGTTGAGTGGCATGGCTGCCGCGATGAAGGCCGCAGCGATACCGACACAACCGAGCTACGCAGACGCCACCGCGGCTCTGGCTGCTCGCCGCGCCTACACCTGCTGCAACAGATGTGCCGAATGCAGCTCATTGATTTGAAGAAGCTGATGTGTTCAATACAGCTGATAAGTATATACTTTTTGCATGATAAGTTCATTGTAGCACATAACTGAAGTGTCTTCTCGATTTTGTGCACCATCTGCACATTACGTAATACACTTGCAAACATTTCTGTCAGCTGTATATGCTATCATAAAGCCGCGCTATATTTGCAGCTACCACAGAAGTTGTATCGCATTGATTTTAGACCTACATAGAGTCTAAGAATATGATCTAGCTCCTTTCTATTCATTAAAATTGCATTACCTTCTTCACATGAGTATGTCAGTCCTTACATTAGCAAAACGTTATTAACACAGTGACTCCAGCACACTTCGTCAGCCGCATTGCTCCAATTCAGGAACCGACGAAAGAGTTCTGTCTGACTAACTGCATAATAAACAGTCGTCATCTGCATCATTAAGTCGACTGATGAGTCATCAAGTCGTCAGATTAGTCATAGAGTCGTCAGATGAATCATCAAGTCGACAGATGAGTCANGTGTATAAGAGACAATATTAAGGTTACACCAGGGTTACACACTCCTTTTACTCTGGCTTGCTCTTCGCCTTCATCTCCTCGAGGTGATGATTGTTGCCCTTCATGAACATCTGCCTCTCAAAGTTGGCATCTGACAGGGTGACTCTCTTGGCACTCAAGATGTCCTAGCCTATGGAAAACAGGCGCTCAGCTGCAGCACTGCATGGATGGGATGGCTGTGTTGTACTTAACGAAAAGGTTCATCAACACCTGCTCGCCCAAGAAGGCAACGTCAGTCAATTCCTCCTTCGAGCTGCTTTCCAGCCTGGTCTTCACCAAATTCTGTGCCTTGGACTTCAGTGACCCGTGGCTCTTCCTGCACTCCATGGGCTGAGTAATGCTGCTGAAGAAGTCATCTTCCCCATCCTCGTCATTGGTGGTGGTGCTGCTGCCCTCCTCAACGGTCTCCCTCAGGGCTGTCTCCACGGCGGTCTCCATGGCCTTCTGTACCCTGCTGAGATGGCTGTGATTATGCTTTTCCAGCCAGAACAGGCGAAACTTAGGGTGGAAAGCCGCTGCCAGCTGGCACTCCTTGTCTTCTAGGAGGGGCCCAAACCTTTCCATGATGCCTGCCAGCATTGCGTCCACCAGAGGACTGCAGTATAGGTGTGGGCGTGGCACATGGCTTACGATACTTAGCATTAAATCAGAGATTTTCAAACATTTTTAACGGACTTCCAGTTAGCGGAACTAAATTTAGCGGAAGCTAATTGATCCGCTAAAGGTTTTCAAAGTTAGCTGAACAGCTAATCCGATAAGGAAAAAGTTAGCTTCGCTAATTAGCGGTTAGCGGATTAGCGGAACTGTGCCCACCACTGGGTATACCGTATACATCTATTATACATGTATTAGTTCAACCATGACATTGTGGTGGTTTCGTTCAAGATTTAGAATTAACAAAATGAAAATATTTAGAAATTTAGAATTTAATTATAAAATAAAATTTTGTTTAAATTTGAACCTCGCCACAATGCACACGGCAATAGTTAACTGCATTCCAACTTTTAGTATTTAATGATTCATTCCACCAGAACCTTTTATTGGAGTGAGTACTTAGGTGCAGCAACTGTCCTCCCGTACCAATTACTTTGTTTAAAAGCTTGATTTATACGGTTTATAATCGTTTTCTATGTATTTAAATGAATCTGTGTAACTTCTAACGATCTGTTAGCTATTTATACAAAGTTCTATACGTAGACCGAAAAGAGTCGTCTTTATTTTCCCAAATTGAATAAGAGAATCTTTAACATACACATACTTCAGGACAGCGAGCGAAGCCAGAATCTTTCGACAACTTCGGTGTGTAGTAATAAGCATATTATTTTCCCAACCTAACTAAAGTCCTAAGCGAACTTTAAACCCCGCATCTTGTTATGCAAGACCGTTCATAGACGTAGACAGTGAAGCAAAGTGCGACACAGGACGGGAAAAGACGACGCGTTTCATTTATTCCCTTCAAGTTTGAACAAAATAGCAGCAATTTTTCTACGCATTGCTGCTCCTCTAAACTGTTGCACCGCGTGGATTCCAACAGCGTTTAGGAATAACGTAAGTTGCTGGCTCAGGGTGCGGATGCGTATATGTATTATTATCATTAGCATTGTTTAGAACAACAGGAGTGAGAACTACAGGATGCAGAATTGCAGGAGCCAGAACTACAGAAGCAAAAAATTAGTATTTATGCGAAAAATGTTAGTAAAATTACTATAACTAGAATATTTTAGTCTAAGATTTTAAAAATCATTTTTTAATTTCTATTTATATTCATGTTTAGAGAGGCTGCGTCTCGTGGCGAATCTCAGCTGAAATCCTTGGTTTAAGTTACAATATTCCAAGCATGATCATTCAACATCATAATGTACAAGGAATCGTCATGTTGAAAACACGGAAGAATATGTCACATACAGGAAGCTCGTACAGATAATGCCAGAGTAGCAGGAGAGATTAGACTGAAGTTTGGCGGATTTCCCCAGGATACAATAAATAATTGCGTAGAATATGGCAAATTAGCGTAATTGCTGAACAGGCCCACGACCTGCTTTGCGGTGAGTGCGGCTTATTTTTCCTAACATAATGGATTCTTTTACAACTTAACTTATTTAATTTTTGCCCTCTCTGATCTGGGTAATCCCAAAATTCACGCACGCAAATCAAGTTTGATGCCAAACAAAATTTTTAACTTAATTTGAAATAAAAGAATGATTTTTTTGAAAAATAATTCGACTAGAGGTGAACTGATAAGCTTTCAAGAAAATTTCCATCTCATTTTTTCCTAAAACTGTTATAGTGAATTTTGAAAAAAAAAAACTATAAAAAATATTAAAAAAATAGTGNGTGAGAGTCTTGTCCTGCTGACTCGTTGAACCTCAGGATGATAGCCATGACCTCCAAGCCAACAAATTCTCGGGAACAGATCCAGCAAAACCAGATCGCTTAAACAAGTATCGAGCGCTGTATATCGCAATAAATAAATTCAAAACGTGTTTTTTATGAGCCGGCTTTCATGAATTTAATGTTTAACCATTCGAAAAGGAGAAAATAATCGCAAATGTTGAATTTTTTATCCTAAAATTTGAGTTCTGTGGCTGGAACAATACACAGCACGTGCGGGAACTTGAAGCCAACATACATACTTCGACTAACTTCCCGATGGCGACGCGTGGCACTGAGCCGCCGTTACATGTAAGCTGTATTGCCTGTATCGAGTTGCTGCAAGGTCAAGTTGTCAGATATGGAGATAATTGATGTTATTCGGAGGTTGTTGGCTCACAAAGAGATTAGTAAATATAATGGATAGTAGATATATTTACTAACGCACGGTCATAAAATATATTTGAACGGTTCCCAGCGTGAAATTTATTCAAATATTAAACATTGATGCAATATAAACGAAAAATTTAGTTATATTCCAAACAAATGTTAGTTTTTGCTGGCCGAAAAACGGCCGATAAAGGCGATAATACATCTGAGTGGTCTAAAGAATGATTCAACGAAGTACTGCGATTCCCGTCGAGCATTAGAGCGAGGCAAGACACGATATAAATTAAAGGAAAAGTCCCATAACAGGATTTGTAATATTCGGTCGGCAAAATTAGTTAAAGAAATTTAAATACAATGGTGGTGGTCTCAAATAAAGTCCACTATTGGATATTTTCTACTTTGAGCCTTTGAGATTTAATGTTCGCAAAGTCATCACTCTTCCGCAAAATAATCAGGCTTGAAGCCTTTCTGGAACATACCTACTGATACTGAGTATGTCTCCAGTTGTGGAATTGCAAGTTTTGGCAGAGTGACAAAAATTCGGGTTTTCCAAAATTCATTATTAAAATATTGTCTTCCAAAATTCTTTTTTTTTACATGGAGAATTACCGCAAAAATGCAAAAAATCAGGCTCTATACCAGGGCGCATTTCTAAGACCACTATTGAGGCAGGTACTGAAACGTTTGCCTTGGCTATTTTCTCAGAAGCTTCGTATCTGTGACCTTGCTACTTCGCGTGGCGAGGTACATACAGTACGTGTTCATAATTGCAGCATATTCAGCCGACAGGAATTTGTAATTGTTTCCAAAAGTATTGTCTATGGACAGTGACATCCTTCATTTAAAACTCTACACTTCAACCGTAGCTTGTCTAAGATAACATGCGGCGTCGTATTTCGTGATATTTCTACCCTTAAAACATCAAACAAAGAACCACTGAGGAAAATGCCATAAAAACTCTTAACTATTTTATTGCTCGGTGTCGTAAAAGCGTGTGAGAAACAAGAGGTATAATGAGCATATTCAAGATAGTCTACCATCGACATAGAAAAAATATATAACTCTGTACTCACTGCAGTGAGTGACAGAGAACGCATTTTCTCGTCGACGAAAACGTGGTCACGGACGGACGGACGGACAGACAGACGGACGGACATGACGAGCACAATAGCGCCTTTTTTCCATAAATGAGAAAATGCGCTAAAAAGACGTATCAGCTTAGAGAAGTTCATGCCTCGAGTCCGATCGAAGTGTCTTCTCGGAACGTCTCAAGCAAAGTATAAATGAGAAAATGCGCTAAAAAGACGTATCAGCTTAGAGAAGTTCATGCCTCGAGTCCGATCGAAGTGTCTTCTCGGAACGTCTCGAGCAAAAACTGGGAAATAGGAATTACCTCGAACACATCAACTTCCGACTGAATGAACTCCATTCATCCTTTTGACATTGTGGTTCTTTCACAAGGTTCATCAATTCGAAGCTCCATTATTACTGTTGGGAATACAGATTGAAGGCATAGACACAGTATTAAGGTAAGGAATTCAATTCGACTGAACTGTTCACTGATAAACGGCTACTATGTACTGAATACAACACGTTCAATGGAAGGTCAAAATTTCACCCTCAACTGTTCAATATTCCCAACACGGCACGAACTTCCCCGTTATCCCTTTCGTCAGAAATTATTTTGTTTAAGGAACAAGTAATTGATGTTTGTGCAAATGTAATTATATGTGAGGTGTTTTCTTACTGTAAACATCGATTTAAAAATTAATTCAACTTTCCAAGTAGCGTAACAACATGGTGATTGTACTTACAGGTTCAGTGAATTTGATATCAATGCATCCCACTGGATCGATGTAATTGAAACCAGTTTTATTCAGTAGTAACATATTAATAGGCTGAAATTTTTATCTCAAGGGTTTTTGTTCGCTTGCATGTGAGATCCATGCAAGGAAAATTTACAACTTCATTCATGGAATGGCTTGGGCTGTCTCGATGAGCATTGCAAAAAATCTGAAAGCATTACACTGTTTCCAAATCTAGTACTGTTTGTAGTTGCAGCCTTGCAGGTGTATTCAGTATGTTATGCAATCGGCTCTCTGAACATTTAAATGCAAATCCGGTCCTACAATTGCGTATGCGCTGCGTGTAAAGACATAAATTTCATGAGCACACTCCCCATTCTTCTACTTTCTACTTGCTTGCGAAACGCTGACTAACATGCTCTCAAATTTGTGAAGGAGACTTCCTGTACAGCGGAGTCTGCCACAGAAACCTGATGCTGATAGGCAGGAATTAACACAAATTAGTGAATGACTATACGTAGAGGGGTCTAGCCGAATTAAATTAGCTGCTGCACGAGTTTCGTGCGATTGACAAACGATTGTGCACACATTCAACTGTTAAGGGACAGTAGTTGGTATCGTCGCTTACTTAGGTGAGAAGTAAAATATAATTGAGACTGGAAAGCATCCGATTTACCCATCATCTAAAAGCATTCAATTCGCCGCTTAACACGCCGTCCATGTCCGTTTCTAATTTGAATAAAGTTGCTCTATCCGTGCCCTTTGAATATAGCAAAGAAGTCTAATGTTAAAGCGAAATGAAAATTTATTTGAGAAGCTGAACGGGTTTTACGTTTATTACATATTTCATTGATTGATTTAAAAAATATTGTCATTTATCCATTAATACAAGGTGATAAAAAATCTTATTTTACATAGATGTGGTCAATTATTTTTTTGTTCAGTGACTGGCATTATAATTATTGTGCAAGTGCTCCTGAAACATCACGACTACATTACGCGAAAGTTGGCGCATAATTGCGCGCTCCTTAATTTATTTGCTGTACCAGGACCTGGCCTGAACATCGCGGATCTTCCGATTGTGGCTACACCGTTTCATCCTCTGTGAAAATACGATGTACAGCTGCATTCCTAAATTTTGCCAACTTAAGAGTATACTTTGCTACATGAGACCGTTTAAGTTAAGAAGCCCCTTCACTTATGCCTGCATTCGAACTCGCTTAACTGCAAGGCAGTACAAACAGTTGAATTTGACTTGATATATTCATATGAATTATCGAACCTCAGTTGCTTGTATTTTTGGGCACCGAAGAGTCATTCTTTGCAACTTTTCGTCGTACGGAGGCTCCTTTATAGCGGCGGACGTGCAACCTATCCGCAGTCTCTTCAGGACACTCACAGCAGAAGGTGGGTGGCAGCTTAGATAGTGCCGAAAAATTTTTATTCTTGAATTCCTCAAGGACTTGTTGACTTCTACGCGTCAAGTGTACGACTCGGTTCCTTTTAACAATGTCGTTTCCTTTATTGCTTCTTAGTAGGTGGTTAGGAATAATAAAACAGACGCACGTCAATGGTTTTTGTCACTGTAAATTCACATTTAGCCCTTACAAATTGGACGGATTAATGTTCAATAGGTAGCTAACGCTATGTAATCGTTAACTTCATCTTAGAATCATTATTAAATTGAGCTCATGGCCGGTGTAAAACTTTAATTCGTCCGTTGAAAAAGTAAATCACAGATGTCGTACTGTAAGCTAGGCTAGTATCCGGTATAGATGTAGGTGCATAACTGCACATGACTGTAGCCAAATAATGAAATATACATCTTACTATACTTTGCGAGGCAACTGAATTTTGTCTCGCGTTACCGTATATACCTGAAGTATTCAAAGTTTTTACATGCTAATTTGTTGATGTCGAAGCGAAGGTATTTGTCTTCCTAGAGAGTTGGTAGTTATTTGTCACCATAGTGGCAAACCAGAGCTTTTTTAGAATCAGTTCATTTTTAATTTCCTCAGTTGCTCAAGATTTAAGCCAATTTTTTATGTATGATAATGCTGGTATCCAGGATACTTTACTGGTCTACTTATAGGAATCAAAAATGAACTTGAGGGAGAGTCTAAAAAACTCTCTGCTTTGCCACTATGTTTGTCACTATGTGGTTCAAATGCAGGAATTTATCTTCTAATCGAAAATTTATGTTCGAATTATGCTGGTTTTCGAATCGCGCTCAAGTTCAGGCACTCTTGCTCGGGATTCGAGAATTGCTTGAAACTAGTCGTCACCCTGCAACCAGTCTAATCTAATGCTTTTGTCTATCTTTCATTTTGCGTGTCGCTCGCGCTTCGGTCTTATAAATTTGTAGTAAATGAACTCGCTTGGGATTGACCCCACTTCAGAAAATTTAATTATTGGGTCGATAAGTATTTAATGAAACAAAGTTCAATGTCCTTGTCAGGCTTATAATATTGGTTCAAGGTCGTATTCAATAATTGTTCTCCTCTCAATTATTGTAATTTGAAACTAGTAATAGCTGAAAGAACGTTCGAATGACCAATTTATTAACGAATGAAATAACACATAAGATCGTAGAAGCCACGTGTGATATTTTGAGAGATTAAGTAAGTGTTGAGACTAAGACTATCATTAGATGAGCAGTGAGGAAGGGCCGACTCAGCGACGAGACGCGTTCAGGGTTAGGTAAATGGTTGCCGCAGTCGTGACTAGAGCCCTGATTATTTGTGGTCTTCGTTCCAGTCGTGCAGGTTCGCTTGGCAACCTTCAGATTAACCTTGAACCTCAACAGTCGACTTATAAATTGAAGCGGAATCTTTTGTCTCACATTTTCTGATGGAATTTTTAAAATTATGCTTCGAAGTTTTTTGTGAATTGTTACAAACTTGATTGTCGCTCGAGGTCACATTTCTTATAATAACGAGGGAAGGTAATAGTAAAAGATGCTTATAAAATATGTCCAAGCAATTAATATAATTTTTTACGTATAGTGAGTTAGTACCTTTTTCTTGATGTCAGGCATTTTATTCTCGAACAATATTTTTAAAATTTGAAAATTTAGGTCTTTGGATGTAGAAGGGTTTCCTTCATCATATTTGGAATAAAATCCCTTATTTATCCCTGAAAATTTGATGAATGTTATTTTTCTGTAATTACTTTGTTGAATTCTGTTTAGTTCTGTTGAACTGTTTGCTGTTCAATTCTTAGCGTCGGAAACCTGAAAGCGAGCACACAATTTTACTCATGGTTGAACTAGTATATAGTTCAACCATGATTTTACTATTCTGTTACCCCTTATCGACGAAGATGAGATCATGTGGGTTTGCTTCACCTTGTTCTTAGTTGCAATTCTCGCGGCGTCGATGCGTGAGTCACGGCTCGGCGATAAGCGGCGGTGATGTTATTCCTTTGTTGTCCGGGATAATTAATGGTTTCCTTTGGTGCAAGAAAAAAACCTGAATGCATGCCTTGACCTTCAAGCCTCCGACTGCGGACATAAAATGCTGGCTGCATGTAAAAAATACTGACAATGCAAGAGATCTTGACTGCATAAAATCTGACTGCATGCAACTAATACAGACAGCAAGAGACTTTGACTGCGGACTTACAAATGCTGGGTGCATGTAACTAATACAGACAATGCAAGCCTTCGATGGCGACATACCATGCTGACTGTACGAAAGTAATACATAAAATGCTTGCCTGCAACTAATACAGACAATGAACAAGCCTGCTACTGCGAACGTAAGACTGGCTGCTGCATGTAACCAATACAGACAAATAACAGGGCTGTGCTCCGGAAAGAGGAATGTCCTGGAAGAGGATCGGCCGCGTACAGAAGAGTGTTGTACCTACTCTGATTCTCGTTGAAGTAAAATGAAATGAGTTGCTTAGTTAACTTTATGCCCGATGCTACTTTTATATATTTATTCCATGCGATGATAAATAAAACTCTATCAATTCTTTTGTCATTTTGTTGGTATATAAGTTGGAAAAGCGACATTGTGTTTCCAACTTAGAACGTATTTTGGGACAACATAATTTCAAGTTCAGCCGTTGGTGATTAAGTATTCATCCAGGCCTGGTGATCAAACGAAGTCTTTGTTCCGCCTTTTCGTGTACGTCGCACCGCGCTCGGTCGTGTACTACGGCGAACGGCGTGCCTGCAATCGTCTCGCCCGACACTGATGGCAATGCGCTGCTCGTTGGAATTTTTCGAAGGCTTTAGATTTGCCTTCAGCGCATTTTTTGCCACCTGCATTGAGTTCATTATTTCAAATAACCTTTAATCGCATTACTGGTTAGATATTTTAATTACTCTAACTTGAAGTAATAACATTTACAATTTTGATGCCGAATTAGGTCAAACCAGCTGGTCACAATGCATAGTGAGTTTGTATAATTTTTACGCCATAAAATAAAAAATTTAGGCTGTAATATACGTATATATACATCGCGTTAGGACAAGTTCTCTCAATTGTCAGGCAGCCACCCCGTACTTTTTTTCCAGTTTTTTTTGCATGCATTCACGCATGGCCGGGTTCTTCTATGAGACCCGATGGTATTCACCAACATCCGGTTAGCATCCGCGCTCCAGGAATTAATTAAAATTGCATCTGAGTTCCCTGGACAGATACTGCATTGGATATGGGTGTCCCCAGTACACCTTTAATTACATGGTATTTGCATTGTGTAGTTTTCATTCGACCTAACCACCTATAGTGTATATTATCAATTTGATAGAAACTGGATGGCGTTTTGGCCGCACAAGATGGAAGGCACAAGTGTAACTACGAAACTATTAACTACCTTTGTTTAGCATTACAAGTGTAGTTTCTTATTTTAAAGCTAAATTGACCTTTAGAAATAATTTTCGTATGATTTCCGTGGATCTGCAGAAATGCTGAGACTGGCGTTGGTGACGGTGTTGTGGGGGACGTTGGTGGCTACCCATCCCCAGTATGGACCTCCTGTTGAACAACTTGAGCAGGTAGCTGGAGCGCCCGTTGCCCCAACAGGGGACGAGAAGGAGGATTATTGGTGGCGTCAGGAGGGTGTCTTTACCAATACTGTGAGTAGTGGACCTCAACCCCGTTAGCGGCATGATGTCTTCGTGAAAACTTTCACAGTCAACACATTTGTTTTAGAAGTATCTAATTTGAGAATTGTGAATATGCTTCTTAAAAAGGAGATGAATTATGATAAATCAACAACTGAAACAAATATTCACAGAGAAAATATCATCAATAAAAGGAGTAATAGAATCATGCCGCTAATGGTGGACCTAAGCTATTCTTCGGGCATCTGCTTGCGGTGCGGTTCTCAAGCGCTGAATACAACACAATACAACCGCATACACTTGCAGATCACTGAAACATTTCGAATACTGGACAATTTGCTCGAACACTGCCCTCTCTCGTCACACACTGCGTACATAGTCTTCGAACACCGAGATCTCTCTCCTCATACATTGAACTCACTCTCCTCGAACACTGAGCTCACTCTCCTCGAACACTGAGCTCACTCTCCTCGAACACTGAACTCACTCTCCTCGAACACTGAACTCACTCTCCTCGGACATTGAACTCACTCACCTCGAACACTGAGCTCACTCTCCTCGAACACTGAGCTCACTCTCCTCGAACACTGAACTCGCTCTCCTCGAACACTGATCTCGAACACTGAGCTCGCTCTCCTCGAACACTGAGCTCGCTCTCCTCGAACACTGAGCTCGCTCTCCTCGAACACTGAGCTCGCTCTCCTCGAACACTGAGCTCGCTCTCCTCGAACGCTGAGCTCGCTCTCCTCGAACACTGAGCTCGCTCTCCTCGAACACTGAGATCTCTCTCCTCGAACACTGAGATCTCTCTCCTCGAACACTAAGGCGCTTCTCGAACATCTCGTCTAACACTAAACTCAAATTTACACTAAACACGTACAACTCATAATTACTACGAGTAATGAAGGTTTGAAAGTAATTCTAGACTAGTTTATAATTTAGATTTCATTTTAATAGTGCCTATAAACTTACGATTAGCGACTAAAACGGACTAACAAATGTACGTAGTATTCTCATTTTAGCTTCTATATCTCGGCCGCAAACTAACATGTTTTCATGGCTGTTCGTTCTTTAGCAGCTTTGGGTGAGATCTAACACGCATTATCAACATGAATGTCTGGGATAAAACTTTTTTCAATCGCCTGTGAATGATTTGTTAAAATGCGACAAATAAAAATTGTATTATGGGATTTTAAAAGATAATTTCTAAGTTCAATGAAACAATAAATGTTTTTTCTCGTTGACAGGGCAAGCATCCAGCGACAGCGACGGGCGGTGCCGCATTCACGCCCCAGCAGTCGCAGCTCTGCGGAGCAGTGAGTCATCGGTCCAATTGTTTACCGCATGCATCGGTTTCTATCAGTTTCTATTTTGTTTAGTCATCCCGATACACCTCACTGTCTCCCTAATCCTAATTTTCAAAGTTTAGTTCGACATGCGGGGTTTCCAATATAAGAATTATTATATGCAGTCATTGACATTTGATTCGATAAGTTCAATTTGTGAATTTATGTCTATCGTTGCTTTGACTTATGAGGAAAATTATGAAGGAACTGTATCTCGTATACAAACTTCAGTTAACATTTTTCAGTGATAGGATATCGCTTAGTTTTACCCTGTGAATTTGCAAGTATTATAACACTTCTCTTTAACTTCACTTCTTGTTTGTCTGTCTGTCTGTCTGTCTGTCTGTCTGGCTGCCACAAATCTTATAATCAAAATTTAACACACTTCTACTTATCCTATCGATCTGAAATTTGGCATACTTGCGTAAAGTTGGAGACAATGCAAGAATCAAATGACAAAATGAATGATTTTGAAGATTAAAATTTTTTCAATATTAAAAAATTGAAAAAAATAATTTTGTCAGCTACAAATCTTATAACTGATATTTGACACACATTTACCTGTCGAATTGATCTGAAATTTTGCACACTTGTGTGAAGTCGGAGACAATGCAGGAATCAATTGACAGAATAAATTATTTTGAAAAAAATTTTAAATATTAAAAAACTTGAAATATTAATTTTTTTAATATTTGAAAATAAAACGAGAAATTCATTTTACATCTTTAACATTGGAGACACTGGATTCTCTAGAAGTGTTGTCTTTAAAAAGTCTTTTTAAACTCATATTATTTTAAATTTTAGTCGTATCTACATGCCTGGTACGAAGAGTAACTTTCTGCCTGACAGTAACTCTTAGTTACTGTCAGTCGACAAAGATTACCAATATTATCTGCCATGCACTGAAACACTCAATGTTAATAATGTGTTAACAAGGATTTCCATATCAGGGCTCCGATTGCGTGCCTTGGGGTACCTGCATTGACGGATACATAGACACTTCGGGGGCCGGTCAGATCGACCTCAGGAAACCCGGCACTAAGCCGCCTGCTTCTGTAAGTCTGAAAAAATACGTTTCCTAAGACTACTCAAATCTTACTAATATCAGATAAAATTTAAACAATAAATGATTGAAGTAATGACTCCTTGAATTGCCTCAGCTTGGCTATACGGAGTGTGGCGCCCTGGGCAACGTTTGCTGCCTGCTACCTGGCGGTAGCGGAATTATCTCTGGCGGGGGCGGTATTGTCTCTGGCGGTGGCGGTATTGTCTCTGGCGGTGGCGGTATTGTCTCTGGCGGTGGCGGTATTGTCTCTGGCGGTGGCGGAGGCGATGGACATGGAGGGAAGCAAACTGGGCCACCATACCCCGCCTGTTCTGCTGGGCTTTTGTGCATCGAAGAAAACCTATGCAATCTCTTCACAGGGTTCATTGGACCGCGTATCCCGTTGTTTGAAGGACAGAAATTTATTGATTACAAGGTAATTCAAATTGAAATGAGGCATAGTAATTAATTAAACACGAATCAATAAAAGTAGAAATTTCATGAACTGAAAGGTGTTTTGCGACGAAGCTCATTTGGGGCCACTGTCATATAATTTACATATTGATGAAAGTTGGTAAACATGAGTTTTTTCTCATAACGATCTCCTTGTTGCTAGCACTGCACGACGGGCTCCCTGGCCGTTGGCGTGTGTTGCCAAGAGGAGTCTGAGGGCGGGATAGGAAAAGGTGGTGGCACCGGCGGTGGTGGCATCGGCGGTGGTGGCATCGGCGGTGGTGGCATCGGCGATGGTGGCATCGGCGTGTGGTGGCATCGGTGGTGGCATCGGTAGTGGTGGTGGTGGCATCGGTGGTGTTGGTGGCATTGGAGGTGGCGGTTCAGCAGCCCTATTGACGGGATGTTCGGTGCACGAGGATTGTGTGGCTGCCATCCAGTGCCACAACGGCGTCATCAACACTGGCGGCGAAGGTCTCATCGACCTCCGGAAGAAACCCGACTACAGGGTGAATGATTTTCAGTGTATCCAATGGGCTTTATTACATATGCAATAAAATATATAATATAAAATAAAATGTAGGCCTAACATGTGGTTTTTATAATAAAACATTTGTTTGAAAATTTTGTAATAATTTAACCGTTTCAGAGATTGAATACAATAATTTGATTTAAATTGTTTATTGACGTCAAACGTTTGTATAATGAACTTCTTGGTATTCAATTGAAATGTGAACACTAATGTTTTGCCATTTAGGTGATAATATTTTCAAATTTAACCAGAAATGCCACAACGCCGAGTACCCCGAAGTGGAATCTGTGTGTTGCCGCTTGCCTGACGCCCCGCCCGTCGCCAAGTCCTGTCCCGACTTCTCCATTTGCACGGACCGCGACTATTGCGACCTCAACGGCTTCATCGTGACAAACTCCATCAAGGGTTCCTTCTACGGAGGCACGGTAGGTCATCGAGAAGGTTGTCAAAGGGCAAGATTTGACTTCTTATTTTATTAATCAGTCCATCGGACTGATTAATACTCGTATTTACAACGATGATTGTTTGTATGCGATCATCAGTCACTATTTATGTTGTAGTCCAAGTGTTTGCGATGGGAGCCTTTGCAAGTTACTCAAATGATCTAGTAAAAGTTGAATATGCTAATGAGTTATGCATATGAGTTCATTTTCAACTCGTTTCAGGACTGCTACACGAATGCTGCGGTCAGCCTTAATGTGGGAGTGTGCTGCAAGCCTGCACCTGCAAGATCCATCACCTGCCCCGCCAACTCCGTGTGCATCCCTGAAGATTTCTGCTTCGGCGACATCCTCGAGAGCGCAGGCTCTTTCACCGCTTATTCTCCTGGCGGAACTTGGTCGGCTTGCGGTCTGCCCGACAATAGTGGCTCCGGAGTTTGCTGTAGTAATCCACCACCGGACATTGGTCCCATTCCTCAGCAGTGTGGTGTGAGCCGTTACGGAACGCAGGATGACAGCCTCAAGACCCGGATTCACGTTCCCAAGCTCGACAAGCTTGAAGCCGACTTCGGTGAACTACCTTGGCAAGCCATCGTTTTCTTCTCCAACTACACTTTCAAGTGTGGAGCTACTCTCATCAGTGACAAATATCTATTGACCGTCGCACACTGTGTCAAGGGGCTTAAGCCCTATGACGTGCGCATTCGTCTCGGGGAATGGCAAGTGAACACATTCACTGAGCCATATCCCTATCAAGACGTGGAAGTCTCGAAAATTATTGTGCATCCGGAATACACTGATGGATCCCACTGGAATAACATCGCTATTCTAGAGTTGGCAACTCCGGTGAAATTAGAATACAACATCAACAACGTGTGCTTACCTTTCGGTAGCGGACCCATACCAGCGGGAACGCGATGCCTCGTTTCAGGTTGGGGAAAAGATTCCTTCGCAGGAAACTACCAGCATATCTTGAAGAAGATCGATGTACCATTAGTGGATCACCACCGATGCCAGGAGCTCTTGAGATACACTCGTCTTGGAAAGTACTTCCGACTGCACGACAGCTACCGATGTGCGGGCGGTGAATACGGCAAGGATGCTTGTGTGGGTGACGGTGGAGGGCCTCTTATCTGCTTCGACGAGGGATCCAAAAGCTACGTAGCCGTCGGCCTAACTGCCTGGGGCATAGGCTGTGGAGAGAAGGACGTGCCTGGCGCCTACACTGACCTCGCTAAGTTCACTCCCTGGATCGCGAGCGTCACAGGACTCGGCCACTCCGAGAACATCAATGTTGGCTACGGCAAGTAATTACAGTGCATCAAATTTCACTCTTATGTCTACTGGAGTATTTTTTTCAGTCAAAATTAGTTGAACGTTCTCGTAGTATTCATGTCAATCACTGTTACTACTTTCAGTTCTTTCGATTGTAATAGATTATTACTAAATGTTAAATTGCAACTGTTTTTTCTCCTTTCCTATTCATTGTTAATAACTGCTTAAACCCAATGGTGTTCTATTGCAATAACCGTACAAATTGATTGTTTCGTTCCGTCAAAAAAATGCGATGGGAAGGAAAATAACTTCACAAATGCCGGTTAGTTACGCATAGATTATACACATGTACAAATGGCGGACGTGACACAAGCGTTACATAACTTCTAATTAAACTTCTAATTACGTACGGACAAGATCTCTAAACGAAGCAATCCATCGTCTCTCTACAATTCTGTCCTCAATATGAACAATCGTTGGAACCTAATTAATCAAGTCACGTCTACAGACAAGATGAAACTATGGTGCTTTTTAATGAAGTTTGAAACGCCCGAGGCCACTGCGTGACCTGAGCACATGATAATCGCACTCAATTTCTCTCTAATTAATGGACGTATGATTAGATCCGTCAGATCAGAGGTTCTAAAAATATGGTCTATGTGTTATCAATAAATATCAGAGATGGCACAACCTACCTTCATAAAATATCGAGCATTGCAACAGAAGAAAGGCTCAAACGCATGTCGAAAAATTTACATCGCTTTTATACACGAGTGCATATTTAAGTTGATCTGAAGTAAGTATACCGCTGCCTCGTCGCAGCGTCCGAACGCTCAATTTAATATTCTGGGTCTTAAAATGCCTATCAAAGACTAATAAAAAACGAGTTGCACTCCCGCACTTGCATCTAAATCAGCTGGTTGGAATCTCAATTCCATCGCAATTGTTTCGTGATGAATTTTTTACGAGATTTTACTGCTTTCAAGGCTTATCGAATTTTTGATCAACAAAGTTACGGAGACTGTTACGCGCGTTGAAACTGGGAATGCGAGTGGCAATCAGAAGTTCGATTTTACGGCATGAATGAAATAAAATTCCAAAAACTGAGGACTATAAAGTCACGAAAAATAAATTATTGATGAAATTGCAAACAAAGAACAGCTAATATCAAAGACCCGCGTCTACGGTGCTCAGTATAAAAAAAGAACTTATACTGCTACAAATGTTACAAAAATACTTTGTACTAGATCTTAAGAAAGGAAAGTTTTACTAAGGCTAGTGTGGCATGGTTTGGTATTGTAGAGGGTTGTTCTAAATGATGGACCAAATTGAATAAATTCAGATTTATTCATGCATAAATTTAAAATGATGAATGCACAAACCAATTGAAAGAAAGATTCAAAGTTATTTTTTGCACATTTATAAATGTACAATATGTGCCCCCTTGTGCTACACGTCAAACATCTAAACGGTAGCCAAACTCGTCCCACACGAGAAAGCATATCTTCTGTTGCTGCGTGTACCGTAGCAGTGATACGGTTCTTCAGATCAACCATAGTTGCTGGTAGAGGCGGGACGTAAACAGAGTTGCTGGTAGACGCGGGACGTAAACAGCTTCCTTCACGTAACCCCATGAGAAATGGTCACATGGGGTGAGATCAGGTGATCTCAGTGGCCAGAAGTGTAAAGCCTGATCTTCATTTCCTGTGCGTTCTGCAAAAGCTCTGGCAGTGACCGATTCAAAAAGTTTCGGACATCAAGATGCCAATGGGGATATATTGAACATTTATAAATATGTAAAAAACATCGAATCTTTCTCTTTCATTAGTGAATAAACTATTCATTTTGAATTAAATCCCGAATTTATCAAATTGGGTCTACCAGTTAGAGTAGCCCTGTATTAATTTCCCATTAATTCTTAATATGCAGTATCAGACCATGTTTTAGGCTGCTACAGAATCCCGGTATTCCCTGGTGGATGAATAATTCTAAATTGCAGCAGGTTATTGCTGTATAGTTTTTGGGCACATAACTATTGTTGGTTTCGATGTCATAGTTTAATGCATCAAACTCCATGAAGGAGTGTCTCCCAACTTACGACACACACAGGAGAGAAGCGAAACGCCAGTAATTAAGGACACCACACAGGCATTTCAACGATACATTTTATGAATACCAATCCTACAATTTTTAAAACTAATGTACAATGCACAATGGAACTTTGAGAGAAATATAAAGAATCGCAGGGGCTGAATTCATCAGGCACGATCAGGAAGCATTTTTTCTATTATGATCGTAACACACATGTCTTCATAGTCTTTAAATTAGAGGACTAGCTTCTTTGGGTGCACTTTCATCTTGGTCGTCATTATCCAGTGGGAAATGAGTTTCGAGCAATCCAGGTTTCTCACTTTCACTTTCATGCGAAATGGAATCCTGTGAGACGATCTCTGGCGTCATGGGTAATACAGTCGGGGAAATCGCGAACAGCGCAACCGGGTTGGACTGCACTCCGCTAATGGGTTGCGTGGCAGCTATGGTGCAAAACAAAAGACCATCGGACAACGACCTTCGATGACTGAACCTTGGACTTGGAATCACTTTGATCTCAGCAGCCTCTTCTATACTTGCTTGCTCATACACGCAAGATAGTTCTTCACGGGGATGAACGGGACAATTAAGTCTAGATGTTCCTTGGGCATCTTTTTCAATTGCCCTTTGTCGTTGAAGTCGAGGCTTGCTTCCACCTCGACCAGGGTGGCGCGTCACGCTCCCAGTTCGCGAGTCTTCGCGTTGAGAGCCAGTCCGACTCGACGAGTCTGTTTTCGAAGCGTCCGACGAAACAGATGACCTAGAAACACGCCACGTGGCCGTTGACGCAGTTGACGAATCATGTCTGGAAGAAGACAAGCTACTTTCCTGTGAGGATTTCCGTGTGAGATCGAGCGAAGCTGGCTTACGTATGTCCAAAAGGCGCAAAGGTCCTGGTTTCTGAGTCGCTCTCCAAGTGCCCCTCCAGTTCCAACTTGCTGCAGAAGTGGTACTCCGGCCCACTTCTTTCTTGGGAGAAAGATTCCTCCGATGGCCTTTTGAATATGTTCCTGCAGACAGGCGAGTCTTGTGGCAACAAATGAAATCAACTACTTGGCACGGCCGTGATCTTTTTTTATCAACGATACCACAACTGCAGGCTTCACGAGATTTCGAGTCCAAGGCGCTGTTAGTATTTACGGGGGTTTGGCGATTACTAAAGTTCGATGAGTGACGACACCGACCGATTCCTCTTGTGACGCGTGATTCTTCAATAGCTTTACATAGCATAACGCAATCTTTTTTGAACTGTTTAGTAAGCAGTGCGTATAAGAAAGGATTGCAGCACGAATTTAAAGGGAGAATAAACACCGTGAAAACTTTTGCCTCTTCTAAGGAAATGAGTTGCAAGCCGTAAGCGGCTGAAAGCGAAAAGAAAGCAATTGGAGCCCAGCATATAAAGTCTGTAAAAACTAGCAGCGCCATTCGCTTGGCGATACGAGAATCGTTGCTGTTCCATGCCTGTGAGCCTCTGATGGCACAATAAATTTTCAAATAGCAGCCCATCAAAATCATGAACGCTACTCCATTGATGACCATCAAGAAGACAACGTAACCCAATCCAGCACCGTCGGTCTCGAATGGGAGACACACTGCAAATTTTCGGTAGTCGGATACACCAGTAAGTGGCAGAACAGCCATGGTGAGGGCGAACATCCAACCGATGGCCATGATATAGGCAGCGTGGCGCAGGGAAAGCCGCTTATTGAGGTTCATGGCATGAATGATGGCATAATTCCTCTCAAGGGTGATCACAGTGAGCGTGTATACCGAAAGCTCGGAGCTCAAAACTCCCAGAAAACCCGCCAGTTGGCAACCCGCTGACATTTGCCAAGGGATGGCGTACATCCGGAACTCGCCGAGTGTCGACGCATCCACTACCGCTAAGAATCCTGCGCAAGAAAATGATGTTAAAAATTGAATAGTTCCTGCCACTGCGTAACTCACAGTTTGGTAATATCTAACGTAGAAACAAAGTTGAATGAACGTTGTTTCAACGAAATCATCTCACTATCAACTTTGGACGTCATTTGCCTGGAGGGTAAAATTTGAATTGTTTTAACTTGTGACACATGTCATTCATCTTCATATGGGTTCTCGATTTGAGGCATCAAACGTGACCCAATGTTAATTATAGATGAAGAATAAAAGAATGAGAAGACAAACATCAGTGCGCTCTTATAACAACCCAAACTATGAACATCCGGGCCCATACTTTCAAAAAAAGTTAAGAGATCGTAAGTTCCACAGCCAATCATTGACGGCCTTTCACGCAAAATCCACCAATCATAGACAAGATAATAGAACGTAAGTGCTTACGTTCACTTAGCGAGTTTTGAAAGTATGGCCCCAGATGACCTAACTACAGACAAAACTTGGAAGTCATGCATGGCTATTTGACTTCATCAGTGGTTCACAAACTTGGGGCAAATTTTCCCAATGGGGATAATTTATCAATTACTATATGGTTGTGGGGGGTTGACAGAAATAAATTAATGTACATTATGCTTTCATTGATTAATAGTTACTATAAGTAATATATCATTAGTGAAAGGGTATCCTGTTTAATTGGGTAAAGAATTAAAAAAGTGTTGGAGTCGCTGACCTAAGTAAACACCCATAAGGAAGTCAGCCATGGCGAGGTTGGTCACTAGGAACCTTGGCACGTCCATCTTGGCGTAGGCAGCAATGAGCACCACGACCACCACGCCGTTGCCCATGAGCGCGAGCAAGAAGACCAGCCAGACGCCGCACCGCAGCGTCCACCAGTCGAACAGGTCCCGGCACGGCATGAATGGGCCTGAGAGTAACGTTAAAATTTCGATGAATTTCAATCACCAATGAGATAAAATCAACAGAATTTTATGAATTAATATTATCTCCATGTATTCATGTCCTTTAATATTTGAATACTTAGTGTTATGCGCCAAATGATTTCCGAAGAAAAATTTTTGCGTTGAATTAAAAAACACAATAGTATGAAATTATACAGCACCTGTACGGGGATCTTGCAGGCAAGCAGGCAATCTGCTAATAAACCCTACAAATGATTCACGTAGTCACCCACCAGGCTGAGGGATACACTGGATTGCGTGCTGATTGTGCAGCTCTTCGTCATCCAAATTGGAGTCGGCGCCTTCAAGCTGCATCCAGTCTCTGTGATGGTCGTGATCATCCGCGGTCGTCGGAGTAGAAGACGGTGGGTGTGGTGCAGTGGAACGCAAGGAGTGGCCGATGATGGGAGGTGGAGGCGCCTTGGTTGTGTTGGAAGTGGCAGAGATGGTGGTGGTTGCTGAGGGGTAGCGACCAGCCAAGTTAACCCAGAGAGCAGTAAAGTTGAAGCTCGGGTGGACTGGGTAATCTAAAGGGAAGGTCAGGGACTCGCTAAAATAATGTGCATGATGTTGGTCTTTTGGATCCAAATAGGTGGGAGATACATGCTCGAAGCTACCAGCATGCTCAATTGCGACAAAACCAATTAATTGATCTTAGTAAGAGCTTCATGAGGCCACAATGAAAAATTAACGTCTTAATGTAAATGGACGTCTTAACGGTCATAAATGAAAACCAATTAAACACGATTGGAAATTCTGCAAGTTCTAACGTGTATCAATGTGTAGGTCAAAATTCATGAAGGCAATAAAGCCTTTAATAAAGACAAAGGAAGAGCGCCATAGCCAACGCATGATCACTTAATTAAAAATGCAATATATTGTTTTCTAAACATGAGATCTACATGCTGTAAAATGAAAGTAATACAATTCTTAGACTACACGATTCGCGACTTAATCAGCGAGTGAAATCAGATTTCTCAAATTGGAAACTCATAAATAAATTGAATAAAAATTATTGGAGGGACCGTTCGTTATTTTTTTCTGTAGTGAACGACGTGGAGAATAGTGAGATAAGAAAGTAAATAAAATATATAGTCGTAATACTTAAATTAGAAATTGAGAGATCATCTTGCAGCATTCAAAAACATTCAGTGATTCAAGCCATGCATGAGCTACAAAAAATACTAACATAATTTTGTCCGCAAATAATAACTCACACAATCACAATTAGCAAGATGCTTTGGTTGAAGGTTTGGAATCATTTGATACTTAATGATATTAAAACTCCTAAGAGGAAGAAAAAAGATCGAAGGAAGGATTATTGCCCATATGCTCGCATGAGCCTTTAGGGCAAAGTTAGGTGCTATTGGCAGGCTTGACGCAAGCATGTAAGCCAGTGAGTAAACTTCATGCTACTAATGAACTTAACTTTGAAATCAGCGAATGAATTTGGAAAGTAGGGCACTAAACTATAATACGAGCTGAAACTAATGTGATTTATTTATACATTAGAATAAGATTGTGTCAAGCGTAGTATGAACTAAATTGCAAGTATTACATGATAAACCCAGCATTAATAGAAGACTTTGACAAGCGTCGGATTAGTGCAGGGAGCAGCAGTGCAGCAGTCCAGTCTATACTATGCTACAGAAAATAGCAACTTTGATTTCAGAGAAACCAATCCAGTTGTGGGTAGTGCAGTTATTATGTTGACAAATGGCAATGTAGAGCCCTAAATAATATTGACACTCACAAGGCCAGCCGGGGTGAGAGTGGTTCCAGAGTCTTGGGTCATGGCGCTGAAGTCCTTCCAGGTTGAAGACGACGTCTTCGTGGATGCGGGGCGGAGGCTTGGATCTGGACAAACTATCTGTTCCGGGACGACCGTTGTCTAGGGCAACGTCCATGCTGGGGTTCAAAGAGTGCGAAAAATACAGGGAGTGAAACCAAAATTAGGTATAAGTTACAAATAGCTATATTGGTATCAGAGTATCAGACAGTAGTAACAGTGACTTATTTACGTCATGCGGTAAAGAATTCTCGACTCTTACATCAACTCCATAGTCTTATTCAAGTCGCATCTCACGCCTATTGATGTCTCACTTGAGGAAGGGGCAACAGTGATATGCATACGACAGCACGAGGCTGACGACGGATGGGAACGACTGGGGGTCTGGGAATTGCCGCAGGTGGCGGTTGTTGTGGACTTTGAGGTGCAGTACGTGCTCCAGTCCACGGTTAGGCAGCTCGGGGAACACGTTGTTGCCCAAATTCCTGTCAGGAGTGCACAATCTGAACCTTCGTTGCCGGATTTTTGAACGCCGTTATGATAATCACACATGAATTAAAGACTGATGACTAGAGGTGCCGTCAGTTTAAGGAGAGTTAATACTTGAGATCGCATGTCTTGAATGGATATTTTGTAGCTAGTGATGGTGCGCCACCAATGAAGAACGTGAGCGACTAAAGTGGAATCATTAGCGCGTTATTTGTGATGTTAAAAATAAATCAGATGACGAAGCTGACTATGAAGATGATAGAAAACATTTTATAGCACGAATTAATGAATATATTCTCACAGATCGTCAGAACGTTTACATTGTACTCACAAATCTTCAAGTTTCTTCAGGGGCAGGAACGCATCCGGATGAAGATAGCTGATGTGATTGTATTCGAGGTTCCTGAAAAAATTTATTTGTACACAATGGAATCTGACTTTATTAGATATAAAAGAAACCTAACTTTATTTCTTCTAATATCTCTACATCTATTATAATATGATCGAATTTGTATTTTTAGACTGAAGTGATGAGCTGTTAAGATAATTATTTTATGAATGAAGACGTTACCAGTCAATCGCATCACACAAAATAAAAGCATAATACTGGCTTCATTTTAGCCATAAAAAAATGTTCCAAGTTAAGACAACATAGATTTTTTCGTAGTCTGCAATGAGAAATCAAACAGAAGATGAGAATGAATCCAAATCAGCGCACGTAGTTCAGTGCATCAAATGTGAATGATTATTATGTTAGAGATGTCATAACTCCCTGTGCACAAAACTTAATTAAGAACTTTCAGTGCACAAGATATCATACTTTTCAGTGCACAGAATATCACAATTTTCAGTGCACAAGATATCATACTTTTCAGTGCACAAGATTTCATAATTTTCAGTGCACAAGATTTCATAATTTTCGGTGCACAATATGTCGGAATTTAAAGCGTATAAAAAATATCGGAACTTTTTGCCAATAAGATACCGGTGCTATCAGTGCAAAAGATGGAAGAAGTCGGATCTTCCAGTGGATCAATGACATACTTCTTCACTCACAGAACTTGCAGCTGCTGCAGGCCGGCGAAGGCTAGGGGCGGGAGGGCTGTGATGCGGTTGTGCTGCAGCAGCAAATCTTGTAGCTCCTCCGTGTCTCGAAAAGCGCCTTCGTGCAACTCTTCGATGCCGTTGTTGCTCAAGTCCCTGTAATGCGGTGCCACAATAATATTCAGCTCAACTAATTTCAATGATACGAAGCAACTGACGCAAGATGACTTGTCTGGAGTGCTCTTAAGTAATTTCAATACATTCCATACGCGGTAATAAAATCCATTTTTAAGACTTGTATTTGATTTGAACCGAAATATTAGATATGGTTTAAGCTAATGTCGGCAGAACAGCCCGGTAAGAAAAGTGACCGCCAGTGACCAATGAATGAAGGGTCTAGTAATAATTAAGCGAGCTCAGGCAAAGACTTCACCTTCTGAATTAAATTTTACGTACACGCTAAAAATATGGTCTTAAAATAACCGCAATCTCAACCCAAACAGGTATTTTAAAGCCTTGAATACAACTTAAACTTTGTTATTTCTGGAATAATTTGACCAAACGGAAGCGCTCGCACATTTTCCACGCTGACCCAGCGAGCGGCGTCAGGTCTCGACCGTGACATTTATGAGCCAGGTTCGGAAACCGAGTTGGTTTATACGGCGGCCGCAGTTCCGATATGTCAAACGCAGGAAACATCAAGTTGCGCCTCTCGAATGAAGCCTCCTCCATAGCGCGACACCTAACGGCCTCCTCCATAGCGCGACACCTAACGGCTTCCTCCACAGCCAATAAAAAGGCTCTAGTCGACCTCAAGAGCCATAAGTTTAGAATTCGACACGTGCTATCGAGGTGAAGGAAAGAGTGACCTAGAGAACCCATAGTTCAACACTAGGCTCGTCTAGTCTAGGATTGAAAACCCACCCGCGAGTTTAGGGCTTGATTGTGTCAACTTTTCTGACTTGTGTTATTTATGATCAAGTAACCAAAGGCACATTACACCACAGAGGAATTTAGATTTTATAAATATTGTACGAGCTTAAGGATGGATACAATTAAGTATCAACAGAAGTAAAATGCATGGGCACCTGCAAAAATAATAAGGCAGTTCTTCCCTACGTAGTTGTTGAAACAACATTTATTGAGCTGAACTTTTGTTAAACTCTTTTCGACTCAATATGTTGAACGCTATTCAACTCAATACTGAACTCTATTCGACTCTATGCTGAATTCTATTTGACTCTGTACTAAACTATATTTGACTCTATACTGGACTCTATTTGACCCTATACCGAATTCTATTTAACGCTATACTGAACTCTATATGACTTTATACTGAACTCTATTCGACTCTATGCTGAATTCTATTTGACTCTGTACTAAACTCTATTTGACTCTATACTGGACTCTATTTGACCCTATACCGAATTCTATTTAACGCTATACTGAACTCTATATGACTTTATACTGAATTCTATTCGACTCTATGCTGAATTCTATTTGACTCTGTACTAAACTCTATTTGACTCTATACTGGACTCTATTTGACCCTATACCGAATTCTATTTAACGCTATACCGAACTCTATATGACTTTATACTGAATTCTATTCGACTCTATACTGAATTCTATTCTACTCTATACTGAATTCTATTCGACTCTATACTGAATTCTATTCGACTCTATACTGAACTCTATTTGACTCTATACTGAACTCTATTTGACTCTATACTGAACTCTATTTGACTCTATACTGAACTCTATTTGACTCTATACTGAACTCTATTTGACTCTATACTGATCTCTATTTGACTCTATACTGATCTCTATTTGACTCTATACTGATCTCTATTTGACTCTATACTGAACTCTATTTGACTCTATACTGATCTCTATTTGACTCTATACTTAACTCTATTTGACACTACTGAACTCTATTTGACTCTATACTGAACTTGATTCGATAGTTACTCTATATTGAATTATATTACATATTAAATTCTAATTATCTCCATACTGAACTCTATTTAATTTAAATAAACTTAATTTATTTTAAATATAAATAAATTTAAATAGACTGGAATTTATTGGAATAGTTCCCTTAAATAACACCCAGAACAAGTTTTTAATAAGAGCGAGGATGATCCTAGAAGTATGCGCGCTTTCGATTTGGTGGTCGCTAGATCTTTGCGTTATATACTCCCTCTTTGTTTGTCGTAAATAAACTAAGCAAGTTATGCCATCAGAACTCGAATCTATTGCTCAAGTTTCGACAATGGCGCTCTATTGCCGTCTTCTGCCGAGCCGTGACGACTTTAACAAATTAAGGGAACTTTATTCGCCTATATTAAGATAACTGCTTTTGCTGAAGGCCTCTCAGTTTCTTATGGCCCGCGTGCGAAGAACATCTCAGGAAGGTTGCAGTTCACTATTGGTCCACATGACGGCGTCTGAAACGGTGAAAAAAGTACAGGCTTTGGCTGCCTTCAGTTCATTACTGCCCAACTACAGCGAAGCTAACACGAAGAAATATTGTGAGCAAAAAAGGAGACATTTTCAGTGACGTCACGCACGACAAAACTATTAGAAAAAGACATGAAATTAGACCGCCAATTACCGAACGTAATTGCAATGAATGCATTCAAAATCACTTATATTTATGCTGATCACATTTATGGAAGTGAATGTTCTTTATTCATCACGGGAATTAAGTTATGTGACTACATTAATGATCATTTCCCTTAAGAATAAAACGATTGATTTATTTTAAGGCTAGAGTTCAATACAATGCCAGCTTATTTATACGAATTGTCTACAAACAGAAAACCCCGAACGAAACGACCCGTTAATCTCGCCAAGAGCCGCGCTCTCTCTTTGACCAAACGAGATTCCATCTGAGGAATCTATTGAGCTACGCTCATCTATGAAATTCTGTCAAAACTTGGGTCGTAAGCCCACGTGAACTGCGACGGTCGCGGGGCCAGACATGACATCCAGGCTCACATTTGTGTGTCCACGAGAATAAATTATGCTCGTTTTAGTAAAATTAAATCGTAGATAACAGAACTTGAAACATTATCCGTTGCATGAAACATGATGTAGATATTCATTCAACAGGATAAGAAAATATAATGGATAAATTTCGGATCGATGGATAGAGAGAAAATTTTCAAATATACGATTGTATTATCTGGAGGAAGTGTCATGGAAGCTTCAAACTTTCGCCTAAATGATATTTAGTGATGCATTCAAATATACATAAACACATGTATGTATATTTAATTTATTCTTATATGTGTGTATGTATACATACACATATAAGAAAAAAAATCCTTTTATTGTCAAGAAAATTGTGAAAAGTTTTTACTGTATTTCGTAGAAATCCATAAGCGTCATGAATGAAGATTCATGCCAGGCAAGATTGCTTCATATATTACGAGATTTTTAAGCCTTTAAATAAGGAATTCCATTGCCAGCTATACCACTCATGTTAGCCAGCGTAGTACCACCCTCTCTGCACTCTAAGTATTAAAAAATACTAATCACCCTGAAGCGCGACAGGAATAGCGATTGCACGGGTTAACCGTTTATTATTCAGGAAGGGGTATTATTATTTATTCATTATTCATATTTATTATTATTTATTTATTATTTATCATTTATCATTATTTATTCATATTTTCATTTATTTATTATTTATTATATATTATTTACTATTATTTATATTTATTTATTTATTATTCAGGTATATATGCACGACTTTTCTGTTGCGTTTGTAGTTATGTATGAATAACTCGACATAACATTAGTGTGTGTCACGATTACCGCGCTATGATCACCTGCACTATGCAGGCAGCAGGATGGCATGCCAGTGCACTGAAAAATTACTCGTTGTATCACAAAATTGTATACATTCGGGAATAAAATCAAAATTAACTTTGAAGTTAAAACTGGTGTTTGATGTACATGATACTAGTACTCTTATCCTTGTATTTGAGATATTTTCTTCCAGTGAGCATTGCACAAGCTAAATTTAAGGACTCATTAGAAAATAAAAATTACTTATAAAGGTCCTCGCAATAATTTAGTAACTCATAATTATGGAGCTTTTGAAATTATGAAGCAATCAATGCACAACAATTATTATCACAAGTAATTTGCTGACAGTGCGGCAAGAAAAGTATTTGCCGACAGTGCGAAAGGCCTTCATAATAATTAACATGACAATGAGTACTGTGGAAAAAAATTCAAAAAGTATCAGAGATAAAACGAGGCGTTTGACAGTAATAACTAATATGTTTTTTATGTGCGAGTATGCATGAATCCCTTGCCAATATGTCATGGTTCTCAACCCACATTTAAAAGAAATCTGAGGCAAAATGAAATTCAGCGCTAGTAAATAAAAGGTAATTACATTAAAAAAATAAGAGAATCTGCAAGCATTGAGGTTTGATCGCTAAAGCGCTAGTAAATAAAAGGTAATTACATTAAAAAAATAAGAGAATTTTGCAAGCATTGAGGTTTGCTCGTTAAAAATTCATACGTACAGCAGCTTGAGCCGGTGACATTGGGAGAGATCGGGCAGTTCCTTCAGAGCGTTCAGGTGCAGGTTGCTGGAAGACAATGTGTAATTATTTAATTGATGAACAATTCAAATGACGAGAAGAATGAGAAATTATTTCAGAGTTTCTGAGTATTTAATTAATAATTTTCCTATTTTGAGTTCAAAAAGTATCATCAACCATATACGACGACTAGTGATGCGGGTAATGGATAACTATTGATTTAAAATTTTCTAGTTTTACTACGTGATAAATAAAATAAATTCACGATTGCATATTTTCATCATGTTATGATATAAAATTAATTACCACCCGGTGAATAAGGAAACTTCTTTATTCTGATCAAGGGAAGCTATTAACCGTTGCTTTCCGGTTGGATGAATTTTACTGTGATTTGGTATCGGCAATTATCGGATCTGACGTACTTTCGAGTACGGGCTTGTCAACACAACGGCTAAGGGCACCAGAACCAAGAAATATTCTGTCATCACAAGAGCTAAGGGCACCAAAACCAGGAAATATTCTCTCATCACAAGAGCTAAGGACACCAAAACCAGGAAATATTCTCTCATCACAAGAGCTAAGGGCACCAAAACCAGGAAATATTCTGTCATCACAAGAGCTAAGGGCACCAAAACCAGGAAATATTCTGTCATCACAAGAGCTAAGGGCAATAAAACCAGGAAATATTCTGTCATCACAAGAGCTAAGGACAAAAGAAAACAGGAAATATACTGTCAACACAAGGGCTATGGGCACCACAACCAGGAAATTCAGCGAGTGCAATGACTCTCACAGACACTCGGTGGCGTTCGCTCTTCCGTCGAAGGGAAGGGAACGTTTCGGATGAAATGGCACAAGTTGAAGGCCAAGTGCCAAACTTGGATTTATGAGTTGCAGATCGACCGGTGATCTTTCCGATGGTCGCCAAAGCACGAACTATTTTATTATTCTTCACCGATGCCAATCAAAGACATGGTCCTTGCACCAATCAGCTTACTAGATATACAGTCGGGTATCTTTATACATACAAAATCGAATATGGAGATTCATTTCATGAAAATTCTAAAACTGATTGAATTAATGAACTAAATACAGCATTGATTACGAAACGCGAAATTTTTAAGACTGATAACGCTACGGGGGCCGTACTCACAGGCTGCGGGGCCGTACTCACAGGCTGCGGGGCCGTACTCACAGGCTGCGGGGGCAGTACTTAGACGCTGTGTGGGCCGTACTCACAGGCTGCGAGGGCCGTACTCACAGGCTGCGAGGGACGTACTCACAGGCTGCAGGGGCCGTACTCACAGGCTGCAGGGGCCGTACTCACAGGCTGCAGGGGCCGTACTCACAGGCTGCGGGGGCCGTACTCACAGGCTGCAGGGGCNGTTAAGACCCCGGTTGCACGTTAAGACCCCGGTTGCATGTTATGACCCCTGTCTCTTATACACATCTAGATGTGTATAAGAGACAGCTCACAGGCTGCGAGGGCCGTACTCACAGACTGCAGCCGTACTCACAGGCTGCGCAGGCTGGGATGGCGGCGACACAGGCCGTCAGGTACGGTCATAAGAGCGGCACGGTCAACGCCCAGGACCTCGAGACGCTCGCTGTTCACCTCAGGCAGGCGGGTGAGCTCGCGGGTCTCCTTCAGGATGCTGAGGACGCCACAAAAGCCTCAGATAAATGTGAGATAATGAGGCAACTTTAACCAATGTTACCCTAGGTACATTGAACACGTCACACAAGCCTCGGATAAATGTGAGATAATGAGGCAACTTTAACCAATGTTACCTAGAGGTACTTTGCAAGTCGGGTAAATTGGTTGCTAATCAACATAGAGGAGCCAGAAATGAATGATGTGAAGACATTAGTGCAATTTATTTACCCGAAGTACTTAATATTATGCATGAAATTCCCTGCTTTGACGCAGGCCTTATCTACTCTTGCTAAGCATCATAAGGAAGAAGGAGTCATATGCTGTTCAATATTAATTAATCAATTGAAAAATTTACAAGACTCACGTTAATTAAGTGGCCTGATCTAATACCTATTATGTTTTTTTTACAAGATGAATGATAGCCAATAAAGCGAAGTTTTCATCTTTTAGAACATGAATGGCGATTATAAATACAACTAACACTGGTGCATTGAATATTTCGTTGTCGTGGGAACAAACTCCCTGTTGACATCGTCGAAGCTCCGAGCATAAAAGCGTTCAATATGCTGCTAGATGAAGCTATCTATGCAGGAGTATATCAAACGACTAATTGAAGTTATGCAGGTGTTTATTCCGATTAGAAGTTCCTCCCATCTCAAAAATTGGTGGATATTCAGCAGTTACTAAGCTGTAACGTCAGTTTTAGATAGATCTGGTCAAATGGCTTGTCCGATGAAATTTCCAAGACAGGTCAAGACGAGTATTATAAGAATAGCCAATTCGGCCTATTCATCAACGCTGATATTACTGTGTTGAGTTACAGTAAGTATGAAAAAATCAGTAATGAAGACCGCGATAATCTGTTGCTCCTACTACTTCAATGAGAATTCAAGTTTACTATTTGTTTGTACTTATGTTTTAGGTTTTTAAGCTGACGATGAAGCTGGACTCTAAAACGCTTTCTTGCAAAAGAAATAGTGAATTTTTTGACTGTTTTCTTGGCTTTTAAATTCTTGATAAATTTTTTATTTAAACAACAAAATGATCTTAACGTTTCTAAGAAGTTCAGAGCTAGCAATTTGAGATTGGGAGATTTATTGAAAATGTTCGCGGCTTGCACAGTATCAATGCCATTATTGCAAGCACATGGACTACGGCTACAGTTGCGACACCAGCACTTGCCGAGCTAGTGCGCCTATCGGGCAAATTCCTTCGTTTCTATGGCACTCGAGTCCGAGTTGTTCAAAGAATGCAATGTTAATTTGCATACACCTTTATTCCAGTTTCTTCATGCGATTAAATCATCATTGATTGCGTGAACATAAACCTTGCTTTACGTATAAATCAAATTAATGAGAAAGTAAATTTTCCTCAATTATTAATTCGTCACAAAGTTTCAAATTAATGACAATCCTTAGCTTTAAGTAGGCCTGGAGAATCTAATTAATAATGATCAAGGCAACTGACAGCTTGTTGAGGACAGGCAGGTCGCTGAAGGCGCGGTGGTGCACCGTCAGCAGCGGGTTGCTCCTCAGGTCGACCCACTGCAGAGCGCGCAGCCCCTGCAGCGCTGTCTCAGATAAGAACCTGATCTCGTTCTCTGCAAGCAGCCTGCACAGCGCGACACAGTTCACAGTAAAGGCACGGTAGTGCAAAGTGACGGAAGACAATTTACATATTCATGATATTTGACATTAATCAATCATTAAATTTATGAATTAATGAGTGTATGACACGAATACAAGAAAATATTATATTTCGTGTTGCCATCGAGCACTAGGATTCAAGATTTGACATAAATCAATCGTCATATTTATGAATTAATGAGTGTATGACACGAATACAGGAAAATATTATATTTCGTGTTGCCATCGAGCACTAAGATTCAAACGGCTGAACACTCACAGGAGGCGCAGCTGGGGACAGCGTCGCACAGCGGGCGGCACGGAGCTCAGCAAGTTCTGCGACAAATCCCTGCGAGAAAACAGGGCAAAGATTTTATCTTAGATACAACTTCAAAACCCACTCAAAAATAACCAGGCAGGAACAATTGGAGAGGAAACATAGACGAATCTTTTTTATTTTCCCATAATATATGGGACCGAAATTCTAAAGATGAATACAGGTACGAATATTGTTCGGAGGGGTAACCGAGAATGGTATTCATAATGTTCAAAATAATTAACACGAGTAATTTAGATAACGAGTTACCAAAACCGTTAACTTTGGGTAGGATATAGTCTTATAACGTAATAAGAGGCAATGTTAGCACCTACATTTTCTGTGAAGATATATATAAAATATAATTGTATTTTATTTTAACTGCCAATTGACGGGACAACTCTATTAGCATGAAGAAATACACGAGAGACATAGTAAAAGAAATTAGCCTAAAGCAGCGCAACTGTTACGCTAGTCACTGTAACGGCAAATGACATAATGTCAGGGCGAGCAGCTATACTGCTATACAATCTGCAGGATTGCACCAGCGCGCTCATAGGGTTCAACTGAAAACTGCTCGTCGCGCGCGTACTGGACACGGTAAATTGCCCGGAGATTTAGATTCAGCAAATACTGAGTGAAGGATATGCGAGTGATTGAATATCAGAGACAGAACACTTCGAATTATAGTAACAATCGCAGAGAAAATAGAGAGGGACATACTTGGTTGGAAGCTTGTTGAAAAAGGTCCCAGTTGAGGGTTCGTAAGAGTCCATGCAAGTCAAGCCTCGTCACCGCGATCTTCAATTTGAACGACATTAGCCGCTGAGGGTTGTTGTTCAACGCTCATTCAAGTAAATATTTTAAGCTGTTTCTTTTTTCTCAATGCAATATCAAAGACAGCTATGAATCATTTTCCTGTCTTATGTACGTGAAAGCTGAATATTGAACTTTTATTACCGTATCGATAAAATCAATGTCATAAGATACGTTTCGTTGCTCATATTTTTTATGCTTGATAACCGACGTCAGCCTACACAAGTTACTTCTATAAACTCTCTCATTTTTCGCTCTTATCTCCGCAACCTTCAAATCAGCCATTTTATGGGATCACAAAGTTCACCGTTGCGCGCATTTATGTGATCGTCCAGAACGCACTTCGGTCTCTGCATGGATTATCGAACGCCCGAAATTCTCTTCAGCGAGTCTATAAGCCACAAGGATGAGATTGACGGTGTCTTTTCCACAAAAGTAAAAGTTTAGAATGTATTCTTAATTTATTAAATTTCGACCATCAACAAAACTCAATTTGACAGTAAAAGTACTCGCACAGTAAAGTAAGACTAAACAGATATTTAAAAATAGTAAAAAATTAGCAGTAGATGTGAGAAGGTTCGAAATTTCACTAATATATCGTACATGATTTATTAAAATCGAATAAAATTTTTTTCATTGTTATAATCATTTATTTGACGAAGTTTGCCTCATGAATGTCCGATCATGAAGTTTACGTACCTGCATTTGCGAACAAAGTTCTCTTTACTTGACAATTATCGAGGAAAAATTTTGAAAAAGAATCAGGAAAACCAAAACTTACAAAATTCTTCCGAAATTCGTAAGTTTTATTAATATTTATCATTGCAAGATATACATATAAGTGAAACTTCTACTTTCTCACATTTATAGCTAATTTTTCACTATAATATTCTCTTTACTTTACTGTGCGATTATTTTCAAAGTGAAAAAAAATTTTGATAGACGAAATTGAATAAGTTAAGAATACATTCGAAACTTTGATTTTTGTGGAAAAGACACCGGCAATCTCATCCTTGTGGCATATCGACTCGCTGAAGAAGATTCCACAAATGTGGAATAGCTAATAGAATTCAACAAAAGTGGAAAAGGGCAGATATTTCATTGATTTATTCTACATTATTTGTGGAATAGCTGACTTCTACAAATTTGGAGGAGCTGTATGGCATTTTACAGTGAAATGTTAGGTTAGATTTCCGTAGATTTTCGATTTCCTTCGTACTGCCTGGATTCCCGAAAAAATAACCCAAATTTTTAATGATGCATTTCTAAAAAATTACCTTAGAATTAGTGTCGGCGAAGCTATTATTGAATGAAGCAGCAATACTCACAAAGTATCGAGGTCAGGCTGGGCTTCAAAAGCCAAATCCCCGACGTGGGCGAGGCCATTATGTCTCACGGACCTGCAATTTAGAATGGCAAAGATAATCCACGAAATTTGATATCACCAATCAGAAAAATTTCCACGAAACAGGCATCTTGATATCACCAATCAGAAAATTTTCCACGAAACAGGCATCTTGATATCACCAATCAGAAAAATTTCCACGAAACAGGCATCTTGATATCACCAATCAGAAAAATTTCCACGAAACAGGCCTCTTGATATCACCAATCGGAAAAATTCATTTATTAAAGCCAAGCTTGCATGAAAAACAATGATTATTTTCAATCATTGTAAATTTTTTTTTATGCTTTCCAAACGTAGGTGAATATAAAATACGCACTTTTGTCGTATGTATTAACGCGGCGTAAACAAGTACCCAAGTTATCTTTGTAGAGCATATAAGATTCTTAAAAACATTTATCTTGTCACTGGGCCACTTCTAATTTGCCCAAGCAGCTGGAGGAGCAAAGGATACGTCCTCATTGCCCTGGGCTATACATACAGCAGCCCCTCCAGCCACATTAGCCGCTGAGGCTCGTGATAACACGGCTAATTGAGGCTACGTAGCCTCTGGTCTCGCCTCATTGTTAAAGCATAGGAAGACCACCAAGAATTCAGCGACAAAATTACTGTATATCTTCATAATTACTGTTATTATTATAAAATTATTCTCTTCATAGAGAATAATTTATAATGATAACGAAGTATATTTCTGATACATGGCGAGAGTTCTCACAATGACGCGCGGAAGTTTACCTTGGAAAAGAGACATTTCCAAAAATTAAGAACCTAAATAACACGGAACAAGAAGAAATAACAACTTATTTATTACTAATAACTTTTATTACTCAAGCTCCCAGAAATTCAAGTCCTTCTCAATGATACGAACACGTTAACACACTCTACCATACAGACATGTTCAAGTAGAATTGTAAGACTAAAATATCTATAAGAAATCATGCAAAGGACCAAATTTTCAAAACAAATGTTCATAAAGGAAATAGTTTGGTGTAATTAGGTTATTTTAATTATTATAGCCATAAATTTATTAAACAGAGTTCACACACAGCCAATTCAGTGAAACAAATGTCATTGAATTCTCTCATTAGCTGCCTGCAGGCTCCTACTTCAGAGACCGTGTTTCTAGTTGCGACCTGAGGAGCGTCCGAAGAATGACTTCTCTAATTTGAACGCGACGCGGACACGCGTGTAAACAAGCAATAAGGCCTGTGCAAACAAAAGCAACGATGTGTTTAGGCACGAGTTTGTTGTCAGTGACAGACCGCGCATTAGAGACCCAGAGGCAATGAAGCCTGTGCTGATGACACCGAGAAGAACTCGTGTCTTGAGTCGCATGGAAGTTCCTATTCGGCAGGCATTAATCTTATTATTTGCGCGAGAAAGCGACAAAATCAAAGTATTTTGAGCATCCAATAGTCCTCAAGTAGAATATTAAACATGAATAGAGGCTTGGAATTTGCTCATCAACCCAAAAGAGCGAATTGAAAAAGTCTGTTAAGAATATTGTATGTAAATACGATTTGATGTATAGGAGGCGTCTTTCCCATTCATCATTTAGGCGGTCGCACCATTTAGCCTGATAGAAAAAATGGGTTCGACGATCACGCGAGTTTAAAAGTTCAGTGAACCGAACAAAGCTGCAGTGACGCCGCGAGAAGGTCGAATTTTAAATGGCCGTCCATCGTGGGACCAAAGCAGCTCTAGGCCATTATTTGAGCGGTCACTGGCTTCCAATTTGCTGACGCAGCGCTGTTCGATGTCAGTAATTTACTGTGATGCGTTCCGGCTCAAACTTATCACGTAAGAAGCAACTCCAAAACTGGCCTAACGGCCGAGTCGGCATCTAAAGGGCACATCGTTTACTCTTCGTCGGACGGCCTCGCGCTGAACTTTATTATGAGTGAAGTTACAGGAAATACGTGGGATCCTAAACTACATGGAAAAACTGCTGAAAAGAGTCTATAAAATATGCCTCAGCACCCCAAAGCAATCTAATAGTATTAGAGAAGAAAGCTGATTAAAAGAAAATAAGCAGGATTGAAAAATATTGAAAGCAATCAAATGAAAAATACCAGCTACAATGAATCAGTGGAAAATTTCTCGATTCAGAAAAACGAACTAATATTTTAATTCTGCAGATATTCATTGAAACTACAACACACACACACAGTCATCTTTAGGCATGCAAGTTGTCTTCTGACTAAACTTAGTGACACGGTGAGATATACGAAGTGATGGCAGGTGCATGGGATATACCAGGCCTTCCATGAGGCTTCGGTTGCATGTTAAGACTCCGGTTGCATGTTAAGACCCGGCTTCATGTTAAGACCCCGGTTGCATGTTAAGACCCCGGTTGTATGTTAAGACTCCGGTTGCATGTTAAGACCCCGGTTGCATGTTAAGACCCGGCTTCATGTTAAGACTCCGGTGGCATATTAAGGCCCCGGTAGCATGTTAAGATCCCGGTTGCATGTTAAGACCCCGGTTGCATGTTAAGACCCCGGTTGCATGTTAAGACCCCGGTTGCATGTTAAGACCCCGGTTGCATGTTAAAACAACTCACAGGTAGCGGAGTGCGCTGTACTCGGCAAGAGAGGAGCTGGTCAGGTTGGTGATGTTGTTGAAGCTCAGATCTCTGCGGAACAAAATATTTATTAAGATATGAAGATTACAAAAACCTTCACCAGCAACGTTAAAATAACTGTTTGATATCGTATGGTTTTTTATAATATGACAGATTGTGTGCAGCTGCGCATATGGATTATGTCTACACAACAATGGATGACTGCCGTCCGTCCCGACTGAAAACTAGGATTCTTGTCAGGTTAATTTATGAAAAATATTTATTTTTGGATATCCATTTCAGGTCATTTAATATGAGAATTGTTTAGCAATATTATTAGACCGTTAATTATTTATGACTGGTGCTATGAAATCAACAATTATAATAATAAAGGTTGCAAGATGCGATATAATAATAAAGGTTGCATAGAACACAAGGTTTGCCTGAGTAGCTTGTATAGACCGCACAGGAGAAAGGCGGCGAGGCAGACGGGAAAGGTGCTTATGCACAAAGGAAGTACAAGCCGATACTGGTAGCGGCAAGTATTTTTAACTTCTAATATTGGACTGAAATTTGGATAAAAATAATCATGTTTCAAATTTAGTTACAAATTTTATAAAAATTATCAAAAATTATGGCTAAAAATTAAAAGAAATTTGCCCGATATTTGAAGTGAAAAGTCCTTGCCGCTACCACTATCGGCTAAGATTATGGTGCTACGACTGGTGGTTGCTTCCATTACGATGACGCCAACCGGACAATTTTTTCCAAAAGAGTTTGCACTTTTTTCAATCACACACTGGACGTTCCACATTAGAAGAATCAAACGGATGGCCCAATCACCATATACGTACGGTATATGGTATGGACAGCTAGTTTGCTACGAGCTTATGCACGAGTTCGCAGCTTACGTTTGTCGCTAAACTGAAGACGCGCAACAGGGATGGGACCTGCAGCCCAGTAAATAATTTATCAGAGGCGCGCTCCGACGCTGTGATATCGGCTGCCCAGGCTCGTCTGTGATGAATGATGAGACTTTGAAGCTCAGAGAGCTTGCCGCGAACACACACCAACGTTTATCGAATAAACAAAGAGGTGACCGTTAGGTGCTGCATCACGTAAACCGCTGTCAGCGTTTGTTTACCGGGCACGCTATTGCACCGACCCCTTTGGTCCTTGAGGATATTCTCTTTGACCCGCAGATATATCCTGAATCCTCACAGTGCAAAGCGATATAACAGTCATCATAAATCAGACAACATTGTTCTGACGAACGACAAGTCTTCAGCCTTAAGCTTCACCTGGGAAAAGCTGGATGAAACTCGCAACAGGTATCAACAAACATTGTTCTGAACATCTACTAGCGCTTGGATCGCTGTTTAACTAGCACTATAGGAGATAAAATTACCGACTAGTGTTAGCCCATGCTCAGGTCAAGTTAAACCCACACCCCAGGGTCATAAATTTCACCACTTAAATTAATTTGATAGCAATAGCTATAACAGATTGATGTAATACACCACTTGAACTCACGGCGAGCCCCTGCCGCGGCCCTAATGAATCGCCTCGTGTCACTCAAGATGGATTTTCAGACTCGGAATCAATTGGCGATATGAGGCAGACCCGCTGAGGAATTGAAGTCCAACTAACCTAACATATTTCTTGATAAATTACGAAATAATGAGAGTGATTTTTAATTAGTTCAACTGTAAAAGCTATTACGAATAATTTTTCTAAATTATTATTTATTATTTTTGCATATCTCCTGAACCTCCTTACACATGCTGTGCAATTGCGCAGATGAGGGTGAACTTGGGTAGTGTAAATAAGAGTACACGAGCATTGAGCTGAAATTTTCATATAAAAAATAGTATTACTCAAGTCGGCTACGTGAAAGCTATGCCATTAATTGAATCTAATTTTTTTGCATTCTAGTGAACTAACAAATGAAGGCGCATAAAATAAATAAATGTAAAATTGGAACAAATGAACTCTACATCCGAAGTAGAGTTAATTGTATGTTGATGAATGATAATTCATTAAACTAGAAGCTGTTTTAGTAGCGAATAACAGCATGCCAATGTACCTGGATGGTGTAAAATCAGACAGCCTTACGTATGCGATATTAAACAAACTCAATATAACACGACACTGCCACCGCACTTGCACTCGGAATGTCGGAGAAAATATTTCCCGTCACAAGAGAGTGAGAGTTTTGAGCCACGTTTTTGAGCCACGGTGGCTGGAGGGCGGCCTCGCCTCATGGGCCCCGCTCACAATAACTGTCAAGAAGGCCGGATGAGCAAATAAGTTTAGATTAGATTTTTCATGCTTGCGGAAATAGCCACTGGGGAGCCAGGAGTGTTTCTTGGAAATTACAATCTATATAAACGAGCGGAGACCGCCAAGTGGAGAGACGCTGGTCTGACCTCAGGGCGCGCAATACCATACCTGGCGCCTACTTCACGCATGCTCGAGTCACTTTTTTGAGCCAAAATTAACTATTTTATTGGTCTAATAATGAATTTAGAATAAATTTATTTCAGGTATGTATGTATTCATACGAATTGTATACATCTCTTAATCGACCAATTTTAATTACTAGGTAAGTTGGATCAACCCAAAATTTCTCGAGATTGATACAACTCGCAAATTCGAAGCTCTAAAGGCTGAGGTAAGATAATTTGGTTCAGTTGACGAGTATAGCAGTGCACCCTTCACAAATAATGTTCAGCTGCTTTACACTTATAGCCTCGGAAGAGCAGGATGAATTGCACCAGTAATTATCATGTCTAATTATTGGCATAGAAAACGTTTACTTCTCATTTGTGAGTTGAGAAGCTTTGTGTAGCTCACAAGGTACAGAAGTAATGCTACCAATAATAATTAAGACCAGCATTAGTGTTGTTGCTTCCCCTAGGCTCCCTTTAATCGTAAGTAATAGACGGTATCTCCGCAATCTGTTCAGGGATGAAGCGCAAAGCCTTGTAAATGGCTTTCTTTTTTTAGTCATCGGGAGCAGCCGCGACGGACCCAATGAACCCAGACGACCACAGACCGCGTCCCCTAGAAAATTTGTGGTTAAACTTGTGTGGCGATTCCGTTACTGCGTTAGGGGGAAACCCACTACACGTACAACCGGCAGTGAAAGTAGTAACAAACTTGTCTATGAATCGAAGAGTTATTCGACTTTAGAAGTGAGGGCCTGCGATCACATTATTTATCCTAAGAAAACCAAAACGAAATGGAGATTAAAACAAGAAAAAGTTTATTGAATCAAAGTGGCCAGAGATGAAAGCAAGAAAATCGCAACGAAAAAGATCGAGTTGCATAGAAATGATATGGGTCTGACATGCAGATGTTATAGGCTTTATCATGCCTACTATGACAGTCAAGAGACTCGTATCTCTGATACGCAGAGACATCTTCCCTACGAACGAAAGATCCACATTTGCATAGCGGGGCGAGATGCGATTGCGACAGGGTCTGTCTGTCATTATTGATCATCACTAAAAGCTCTTCCCCATACGATTATTTAAGACAAATCTCACCAGTGACCGGCCTTCTCTATATTATTTGCAGAAATATTTAATCTATTTTAATACCGAGATTCTAAACGTTTTTGGGTCAGAAAATTTAGCTGCTTACAAACAGTAGGACAAAAAACGCTAACCAAAACCGGCACAAAAATGCAAGGAATGCATTTAAGCGGTTAATTTTATTCGCTTAACATTTATAATACCAAGACAGCATAAATACTTGCACGGGTCGTTGGGCCTCAGACTACAGGACAGGTCGGGGTTTCAAAGAACATTAAATTTTACGCGTTGCCTTACAGGAATCCAATGTCCTTATCCTACCTTGTAAATAGCCAAATATCTGTTCAAGGTGTATAAGGATTTTTTTGTTTGACTTAAACTGTTGTATCAAAGGTAATAAAAAAGTGAGCATCTCTGCACTTGGATCGTTCGACAACTGAATCAATAGCGATAATTTGAGAATCGTCCTGTAAGCGCGACGGTAAATTCCAAATGCTTTTACTTCAGCGCCAGTCAGACAACCAAACTTTAAACGTGTAGGGAAGTGAACTTGAGATTTTTGGCACTTTATTGATACGAAGGCAGTGATGGATCTGATGATGAGATGTAAATACAGTAGCAACAACAAAATGAACCCAAAGTAAACCCAGCGGATGGCACACACTGAATATATTGTTCATGGTAGTGAACTAATATGATTCTGTACACAAAAAAATAAACTTAACAAGATGCGGCAATAATACTTAACCTCAGTTGTACCTAAAAAAATAACTATTCACAAATATCACAACTCAAATTTAGATCTCACAATATAACTATTCACAAATATCACATACAAATTTACATGTCACAATATAACTATCCACCAAAGATTCAGTGAAGGGCAAAGTGCTTCACGCCTAACAGAATGGAAGTAACGCGTTTCGGATGATCAGGATGAACAGACATTTCCTCTAAATGAAAATGCTAGTAAAATCTAAAAACAAAACACAAATGAAAAAAATTAGTACAAACTTAACAAAACGAATATGAGAAATAACTGTTTGAATGATTGCAAAAAAAGAGAATGGCGGTACAAAAATTAGTGACGTGCGAGGCACAGCTACAATCCATAAGTTAACGACCAGCACCATAAAAATTCTACTTATAACCAGAGTTTAATAAGATTAATGAATTATTCTCGTGAAGCTGCATTACACATTTAATCGAAAATTGCATAATTAAATCCATTCTATTCAAATTTATTATTAAATTTTCGTACATGAAACTATTTTACTCGCCCACGAGTATGTTTTGATTTTGCTATTCATTTTGAAATCATTCAATCCGGTAAATGTTTAGTATTATCACAAATAAATTCTGAAGGATTTCGACACCATTATATAATGCCGTGGCACTCTCTTAACATTATATTATAGCGTAGCATTCTCTTAACATTATATTACAGCGTGGCATTCTCTTAACATTATTTTATACCGTTGCATTCTCTTAACATTATATTACAGCGTGGCATTCTCTTAACATTATATTATGCCGTGGCATTCTCTTAACATTATATTATGCCGTGGCATTCTCTCAACATTATATTATGCCGTGGCATTCTCTAAAATTGGGGGCGGAGTGCAGATGCTGTCCAAGGCAGAGTCGAGAAACAAGAAATTTCCAGGCTTGGCGAGCCTCTTGAAGTTCATGATCTGAATTCCAGTTTTGGGTCCGCTAAGCAACTTGAGCCTGAAGACGTCCATTCAGAAAAACTCTTTTCTGTTTGGATTACTAAAGGCGTGTAATACAAGGAAATTTTCTCAAAACGAGAAAGTCAAGCTTGGGTTTTTCTGTACATGTTCAACGGCCGATGTAAATTCTACGTAGAAGTCGTATCTGATTACATTTACCTATACGTAGAAGGCGTATCTAGTTCTATTTACCTATACATTGAAGGTGTATCTAGTTCTATATACCTATATATGTATGGCGTATCTAGTTCTGTTAACCTATACATAGCAGGCGTATCTAGTTCTGTTAACCTATAGTACATAGAAGGCATATCTAGTTCCATTTACATATAAACAAGAGGCGTATCCTACTCTGTTTACCTAATTAAATTTCAGTGACTTTTGCAATTGCCGGAAGCAAGATTTCAGAAATTTTCTGAAGGTCGACTATATTTTCAGAACTAAGGAGTTCAAAAATTAATTTAATATTAATTAATAATAATAATTAAGAGAATTAATTAGGATTGGCAAGAAATTTAGAAATTAACTAGCACTATATTATAAATACCTCTTTTGATAGCTGTAAAATCAACTTTCTGAAAAAAAATTGATTCTTGATTCCTTCTTGAAAACGTGCAAAAAGAGAATATTTTCACTTCGGGATCACTTTTTCCCGTTATAAATTCGCAAGAAAAAATTGGGCAATATTTTTATGCAATGCTTAATATTTTTTGACGTAAATTCAGAAGTGCGTTTCTTACTATAAAAGAATGGTAAAGAATAAAAAATCAAATCGAATTTTACCGGTTTTTCTTGCTCATAAAATATGTGTGCCTCCCTCTGACTGTTCTCGTAATGATAGCAAAAAAGTGTCAAGTAAATGCCTTTTTTTAATGCCATTTATCATTAATTCTGGGACTACCTCAATGCTATGGAGATCCGGTCATCAATCTTCATTAATAAGTTATTAAGATCAGTGATGGACACCTGCACCCTTGCCTCCGGCCGCCCGCACGCCAGTAAGAACAAGGATAAGAGCTACCAGCGCTCTCGAGCCTGCATTTGTCAGGAGCAATGAGCCAAGCTGCTGCTGCTGTTGGCAAGCTCATTTAAACGCACTCCTGAAAGTCACGCGTGTTGTTTTCGTAGATTTTTACAGACGAATAGGGTAAATAAAAATAGACGAAAAATAGGGTACACAGAGAGGGTGTGTAAAGACGAAAAATAGGGTACACAGAATTGAATGAGAAGTATTTAAATGTTGAAATTTTGTTTCACGGAGTATTTTTTGAAAGGAACGATTGGACTCGATTATTAAAGTTATCTGTGTGGTAGCCGAATAGTGATCTTATGATTAGAATGTGTTAAGATATTCGATATATAACAAATAAATGGGCAAATTATACTCACAAGCTGACGACCATGGAGTGCACGAAATGCTCGTCTCCCAAGGGAACCGCGAAGTAACTTCCCGCCTCGCAGACCATAGCAATAGGCAACTGCAGGTCATCTTCCCCGCTGCTCTGGTTAGAGTAAGTGACTCCGATTTCAGCCTCATCCGTCCACTGAAAATCTTCATTTAATTTCATAGAAGGGTATACTGAGCCCTCATAGAGATCAGGAATCTGTTCGCTGATTACCTCAGGTACAATATTCGAGTCAGAATCGAGATAATCGTACACGGGTTGGCCTTCAGAGGCTCCAGATGAGATGCGTTGCCGTCTGTTTTCCTGTAAGCGCTTGTGGACGGAATCAAAGTTTGAGGTAGCAAGTGAGTGGATGCTATTTCCTCCACTAGGTTCAGCTGGAAAGGACGGACTGAGGTCAATTATGTTCTCCTGTATTGGTGGACCTCGCTGGGTGTACCCAACACGTCGAAGTTCCCGGCGACGTCTAATTGTCAGAGAGCGTTTATGTTGCGTTGCTTGACTGGCATGCTCAGAAGTAGTCGACTCTTGGAGCGGCTTGGATGGTTCCAGTGTGTTGGAAAAGTTCTGGAAGAGTTTTGGATGGAGCAAGAAAGCGGATGGCATAAGTGATGCCCATTTTTCAGAAGCTAGAGTGGGTGTAGGAACGGCAGAGCAGGAACAGTTGGAGGGACACGACCTGGTCACGTTACCAAGAGTAGGATTGCTTCCACATGCCAGTAACATCAGTATGAATAATATGTATATTTTGCTCATTTTTCTAAACGAGAGAAAACGTGACACTAAACCTAGAAGAATAAAATTAATTTTGGATCTGACAAGAAAATCCCTTACATGGCGATGAATAAAAATCTTAATTAAAAAGACGTGAAGCGTTAATGAATATGTTTTAGAAACAGGGGTGTCATGTAATTTTTTGTGGGAAACTTCTCGAGTTACACTGACTGGATCATCACAGGCGTTGGATTCAGGCTGGAAATTTATTTTCATGTTGATTGAATTATAATTGCCGTGGACAGAACACTGAGAACTGCGGCCACTATTTCGGTCCCAGTGCCATAGTAAATAAGTTTGTTTGCGAGGTGCACTTACAAAAGTTTCAACCGTAAAAGATGGCGAGCAATCTTCACTAGAATTTGAGTTTAGTTGAAAGGGAAGAGGATTTTTAGCGCTACAGTTGACAGTGGCCATAGTTGATACTTGGGTGATCCGACCAACACAACTTCATCAGCAGGCTCACATAAATTGTTACTGTTGATATTTTTATGCATTAATAATGATGAAGAGGAGTTTATTATGAATGGAAATTGGAGCATTTTTCACCACAATCAAATTGTGTGTCGCACTGCACAATGGTTTATTTCGTAGAGGAAGACAATACTAGGAATATTGCTTGCCTGCGGTCGGTGCAGAAGAATGTCGCTTCAAATTTGATTCCTGGATCAAACTTTTTCAACATGTAATGCAACATTGGAATAGTGCACGTTTCACCATCATTTTCATTTTTCACGCAATTTTCAGCACAGGCCATTCGATGTTTGTTGGGGATTAGGAGCTCGTTTTATAGATATCATGTTGATACATAGAAAAACGAAATTGCGCCCCGGCTCAAGTCGTTGCAGCTTTGGCATCCAGTGGATACTTGGGCACTGGCTTTGGCATCCAATGGCGTAGATTTGCTTTGATGACCATTTTTTGTACTGCGGTGGATCGCTTGAGCTGATTGCGGCCTCTGCAAAAAAGAAAGACATATTACATTATAAAAAATAATGGGAAATGATTTGTATTCGTTTGATAAACCTGCACTTTACGAGCACATGTCGCGCTAGTTAGTCCGATCATGGTAACAAAATCTAAGCGGAGGAACTCCGTCAATAATTTTGCACACAATTAAATAAGCAAAACTGTATGATGGCATGCGAACGCTACTCTAATCGAATAAAATGAAACTGTTATGTCCTTCTCAGGTTCCTGATAAACGCAAAACGAGGCTGCAGAGGAGCTCAATCAACATAGTAGAGAGCCAATTTACCATTTCATGTCAAGATATTGGCAGTTCCAGTTTGCCAAGAACGACATTAAGAATTCTTTGAATTAAGAAGTAGGGTGAAGTTCTCTATAGGGGAATATCGCTTTGCACAGCGCCTGTGTTAAGCTGGTACATTTCATAGGACCATTGAGAGCGCTACGCGGAGCGCCAAGTTTCTGCTCAACAGATCTGGAATAGACCATCTTGGCTACACGGAGCTACGCAAGAGCGCTCTCAAGGCTCTTAGTTCCTCTTAAAAGGAATGTCAATGCTATCAATCGCTTGGAAACACAAGAATACACTTCCAATGCAACGGCAGACGTTAGCGAACCAAACTGCTATACCGGCAACGAGTAATTGTGTCTCAGGATGGCTGCTGCTTGAGAAATTTGCATACGCGCACAATGTGCGGATCTCTTACGTGCAGAGGAGAATTGTTTGCTTACTACGGCGCTACCTCATGGCAATAGCCTAGCATCCGAAAGAGCAAAGTAGGGCCCCTCATGGCAATAGACATAAGAGACCAGAGGCGCAGGATCACACGAAAGGCCAGAAGAGGCACTGGAAGACCCATGAGAGGCCAGAAGAGGCACTGGATCACACACAAAAGGCCAAAAGAGGCACTGGAAGACACATGAGAAGCCAGAAGAGGCACTGGATCACACACATGAGAGGCCAGAAGAGGCGTTAGAACACAAATGAGAGGCCAGAAGAGGCCTTGGAACATACATGAGAGGCCAGAAGAAGCTAATTTGTTCTCGAGCAGACCAGCCAGTGACGCTTGTTCAGTCACTAAACGCCCAATGCAGCCATCACACTATTTTCTTTGTCGCAATACGACATCGTTCATTGTAATGATTTTCATTTAATGTTCACCCAAAGAGTTCTTTGTTAAATATCATTCCGGTGTTCTGTAAATTTTCATTATTGCAGAAGGATGGCCTATATAACAGCTCAGCACCGTGGACTGGAGGACGGGTAGAGTAGCATGGGTGATTATGGGTGTGCATATTAATTTACTTCACAGAATTTGCCTCAACTATTTTCTGATGTCATTTGCAAATCATACCCAAAAATTAAAACTCATGTGAAATTTGGGGAATTAAATTCTCAAAAAATATGTCTACTTACAGCAAGATGTACTCGTGTGTACTACAATCGACTGTAGAATTGAAGATTCTGCATAAGATAAACGGGGTTTAAATTAAAGATAAGTTATAATTCAGAATCAAAACTCAAATTTTGAGAGGAGGTTCGTCCGGCGAGCGCCAACAGGTGTTATGCTTAGCTCGTCCCCTCTGAGCATGCGGCCATCACTTGAACGTTCGTGAGGCAGTCCAGCCTTCTGTTGGATAACAGGGAGCCTGAGGCTTCTGTTGAGGGTAACAGGGAGCCTCGCAGGCTTTCGTTGTGGGTTACAACTTACAAGGAGCCCGAAGCGCTATCTTCTGTTGAAGGTAACAGCTAGGAGCCTGAGGCGCTGGCTTCTGGTGAGGGTAACAAGGAGCCGGACGCGCAGGCTTCTGTTGAAGGTAACAGGGAGCCTGGGACGCTGGCTTCCGTTGAGGGTAACAGGGAGCCTGGGGCGCTGTTGGCAAGAGGCCAGAAAAAGCGGCCACCGTCCATTCGTCGCGACATGCGAGCTGTGACGATGATGGCATGTGTCTTGTGAACTACTGATACTTGACCATGCGTAGCCAGCAGGAAGAATTACCAATACTCTGCTATGAGAAGCCAGCAGGAAGAATTACCAATACTCTGCTATGAGAAGCCAGCAGGAAGAATTACCAATACTCTGCTATGAGAGGCCAGCAGGAAGAATTGCCAATACTNCTGTCTCTTATACACATCTAGATGTGTATAAGAGACAGGCTATAAGAGACCTGCAGGAAGAATTACCAATACTCTGCTATAAGAGGCCAGCAGGAAGAATTACCAATACTCTGCTGTGAGAGGCAAGCAGGAAGAATTACCAATAGACTACCATGAGAAGCATCTGACATTCGGATCGATGTCAATGCTACATCAGCGCTTAATCTAAAAAGGTCCGAAAACCACAAAAAAAAACTAAAAAATAGGCCCAGCAATCTATCAGTATCTCGAAGCATCAACATCGCATCTAAAACAGCGATAAAAAAGTCCCGCTTGTAAGAAGCGCATCGATCATCCCGGGACGCCGGCAACATGTTTGTTAATGGACGGGTTCTCCACGACCATCAAATGAGCATCAAAACACCTAAGAGCAAATGCGGAGAGCCTGCTAGCGTCAGGTCCGCACTACAGCCACGGAAAAATGCAGCAGCGTTTCAATTCCTGTAAAGTTCATTCTTTCTTTTCAGCGGTGGCAACACTCCTAAAAATTGCATGAATAGGCGCGAATGTTGAAACGGTTATGCGACATGGAAAAACGGGGTTTCGAAGAGGCGACCTTCGATTAGCCTTCGAAAATGCGCCCATGCAGGGCTGTACAAGAGGACGACTAAGCTTGATTTTATTTCCTTCAGAGTTTCGAGTTCCCGTTGAGTTATGATAAATTGACTCTCGAAGCAGCGTTCTAAAATTGATCATTTTCAAAGTAGCTAAATAGAAATCTACTCGTATTGGATTAACTAAATAAATTATAAGTCTCCACTATTCTACCCCGTTGAGAATGATCACTTGTACTGGACTAGCATCATGGGCATGACGCTTGATTTGTTCGATCGTTACGGGATGAATAAGAATCAAATTTGCTGCAGGGAACATTTCTTGCAGCAGAACATGGACGCGTTCGAGGTGATTTAGGGAGCTGGTATTTATGGCAGTTCAGAAGAAATAAATCGAAGTGCCCTGCCTTTGTTAGCAGAAGAACGTCGGGCCACTGGATGACGAATAGGAATCTCAAAAGCCTTTTTAATTTAAGATCCAATCTAAAATTAAACGAGATTGTTAGCGAAGAGATTTCATGGTCGTAACAAAATTGTCATCGTAAACAAATCTACAAGCAATATTTGATGAAAGTCTTATGAATGTAAAAAAAAGCTTTGTAAATTTGCTTACTTTTTAACGGATACGAATAACGAGAAGAAGATATTTTGAAGCGATTATTTAAATATTAAAACCTGGGCACGGGATAAGCAAAACTCCAACTTTTTACAAATTTTGATTTAGAATTTTAGATAAATATCGCCATCTAGTAACAGGGTGACAAAGACAAAATTAAAGCAAAATTAGTAAAGTGATTCACACCCACATTAGCTGAGTGTGAATACAGAGAATTAATGGTTGCTGATTTTACCTGAAAATCATCTAATTGGCTGGAACTCAAAACCAAATTTTAGGCTGAGAATTCGATTGCTACAGATTGTAAAAAAACGCAGACCCATTTATTAAACCAGATGAAATATAACTTATTGCTCTCTGACGTAATTGGTGGGGATTATTGCAGAGGATTAAAGTTTATTTAGGGGTGGAATTGAGAACAGACCACGATTACGAGGATCTCACAGCTTCAACCGACTCTTACTACTGCAACTAGACCCTGCGTGTACCTCTTACTGCCGCAACTAGACCCTGCGTGTACCTCTTACTGCCGCAACTAGACCCTGCGTGTACCTCTTACTGCCATATTATGGGGTAATTATCACAACGGGGCCATATTATGGGGTAATTATCACAACGGGGGCCATATTATGGGGTAATTATCACAACGGGGGCCATATTATGGGGTAATTATCACAACGGGGGCCATATTATGGGGTAATTATCACAACGGGGGCCATATTATGGGGTAATCCTCATAACAGGCTTCATATTATGGGGTGACTATCACAACCGGGCTCATACGGGGTAATTGCAATAATGGGTAATGAAGTCAGCCAGAAAAATATCCCGAATGATTCATACCTCGTAATTTCAAAGATAATGATGAGTCCAAAATTCATGATACATCAAGAGCAGTAATCACAAACTTGGAAAGCTGATATTAAGATTCTATTTTTCAAGTGAAGCCAATAGAGCTCGGTCGCTCTAAGTAAATAAGGACGAATCATTGCAGGGGAGACCCAACAAATAACATTGGGGCTCCGGTGATTCGCCGAGCCCTCACAGATGAGGCGTGAGTAAACAAACGAGACCTGCGCCTCTCAGCGGCCAGGCTTGTGAGGACACAGTCAGCCTGACGCGTTGGCTGTGAAGACACAGTCAGCCTGCCGCGTTGGCTGTGAGGACACAGTCAGTCTGACGCGTTGGCTGTACAAGCAGCGCAAGCGACGAGGCTGTCGTGGTCAGGACATTTGAGGCGGTGTGGCCTCATACTAACACTTGGGATTTATATGAACTCTCATGTGAGGGCACTAGGTGGTGTGGCTTCTCAGAAACACTTAAGCTTTAAATACATTGTCATACTGCAGCTTTAAATAAAGTGTCATGTGAGGACATTGAGCTCATATGGCTGCAAACAAACAATTTGACTTTATATTAACTAACATGTGAGGGCACTGAGGTCACACCTCAGTCATAACAAACTTTATTTTAACAATCTGAATCTTAATGTGCGTCAGAAACAAAAGGGAGGGCAAGGACTGGAATAGACATGTCTTCTCTGCACACGCGATCATGACGGTGTTTGGTCCGCAACTATGAAACACGATTAAAAAACGTTTGCTTATCTCGTTTTGGCGGCGTCAACTTGTATGGAAGAAACACGAGACGAAGATTACGAC